GGTATGTGACCTGCTTTATCATCTGTTTTTGTATGGTGACCTCTCCTCCAGTGTCATAATTCTATCGGAAATCCATTTCTCTCCATTATATCCCTAGTGTCTGGAAGGTGGGATATTTTCAACAAATGTTGAATAAGTGAGTAGGCGGCGTCTGGTGGAAGGGAGGAAAACAGTGCAAAATGTGTGTGCAGGCAAGGACGGGGGAGAGCTACAAAAGCAGTAGGGAGAACTAGACAGAGGAGGCCAAGTGAGGGCAGCCACAGCGTGTGGCAGAGAAGGGCAGGGTGGGGTGTAGGCGGTACCCAAATAAGGTAGTGCTCTAGTCTGACCCTTTGAATTGCGTCTGTTGTTTTCTCATTTTGTGTTTGTAGCCAGCTAAATGGAGGGAAAGGTTCAGTTGCTTACGAGACTGCTGGAAGAGCTTAGAAAGCAAGGAAGATGTTCTCATTGTAGGGTGCTCGGCGGCCATTGTGGAGTGCTAAGAAAGATCATTAAGTGGTTTATATTTAAGTTTATTGAGAGACTTAGATATGCATAAAAGATAAACTCTTGGGAAGTGTTTTCAGATTCTGTTGAAAAAGCTACTGAAAGTTGAGATGACCAGGGGGGTGGAATTTTGGAGGTGAAGTATGGTGGAATGCCAAGCATCTGAGAGGCTCCTTGCTGGTGAGGGCGGTAGTGAGAGCAGGTTCTCTGTGCACGAGGGGGGTGCGTTCACCAGCTTGTTGGGAGTGGTGCCAGGGCCTCCAGTGTGAGAGCTCTGCTCATTAGAATACGGCAGATTACAGCTGAAGCACATTACTTAGGTATTTTAAAGTACTTTAGCAAGCTACATTTTAAAGGTGCTTGTTATGAAAATATACCTAAAGATAACCAGTGATGTTACTCTCCTGCTCTTTCTTTTTTCGAGGCCTATTTTTATACATAGTTAAGATCATGCAATATGAATAGTTTTTTAAAACCTACTCTTGTTTATTTAATATTATAGTGTATTTTCCTGTCCTTAAAAACCTGTTGTTACCAGTGTTTTTAATGATTGTAGATTTTTTTTTGTAATTTTGAAGTGCTATAATTTATGTTTCTCAGTTTATTAATTTACCTTGTTTCTGATTCTTGTTCTTAAAATTAATGGAAGGGTGAACAAGGACTGTCTTTGTGCCTAAAGCTTTATCTTCACTTTGAGCTACTTCCTTGAGCCTAGTTCAGGGGTTCTCAAAGCTGAATGCATCACCATCACCTGGAAGACATGTTAAACACAGATCGCTGGGCCTCAACCCAAGGATTTCTGACTGAGTAGGACTGAGAAGAAGCCTGCAAACTGGCCTTTCTAACAAGTTTCTAGGTGGTGCTGCTGGTGTGGGGGACCACACTTTGAGAACAGCTGGCCTATCTTATTGACAATAACACTACAGTATTGAGGTTAAGTTTCGCAGCGAGTAGGAGTGATTATGATCTTGAATGAAACCGAATTCATGTACCAACCTGTACCAAGGAAGTTGAAGAGCTATAAAGGATTGTATCAGCATCGCAGCATTGAGGATTTGTGCAATTGGTGCACACAGCAGTGCTGTTCTTTGCAAGGTTCTATGCTGGGTGTTGTGAAGTAAGGATACTGTGAGTAATAAAACCCAGCTCCCTTTCGGCTGTTTTACAATCTGTGAGATGAGACAAATAGAACACAGAAGTGCTGGGAAAAAGTTATAAACAAAGAGCTACAGAATTCAGAGGGAGGCAGGGTTATATTTGGTTGACACATCAAAAAGTAGGAGGCTAAGAAGTAGAAGGTCCAAGAAGAGCTAGGATATTTTTTTTTTTAATTTTTTTTTTTTAATGTTTTATTTATTTCTAGGAGAGAGAGAGAGAGACAGCATGAGCAGGGGAGGGTCAGAGAGAGAGGGAGTCACAGATTGAAATAGGCTCCAGGCTCTGAGCTGGCAGTCAGCACAGAGCCCGACGCGGGGCTCGAACCCACGAACCGCGAGATCATGACCTAAGCGAAAGTCGGACGCTTAACCGTCTAAGCCACCCAGGCGCCCCAGAGCTAGGATATTTTTAAGGAGTTTCACAAGTATCACATCAATGAAGCTTGGGATTTTCAGCTGGACAAGCCCAAGTTCAAAGCTTGGTTCTGTGCTGCCTTAGCCTTGTGATGTTACTCTCTTTGAGTCTGTTTCTTCGTCTGTAAATGGGAATACTACTCCAGGTGTGTTGTGTAGATAATGTAATAAAAAACCCAGCAAGGTGTCTTGTATGTAGGAAGCACACACTCAAAAAAAATGTTGAATAGGGGCACTTGGCTGGCTCAGTCGGTAGAGCATGTGATTTTTGATCTTAGGGTCATGCGTTTGAGCCCCACGTTGAGGGTGGAGCCTACTTAAAAAAAATAAAAAATTGTTTTGAATAAGTGGCTGGCGTCTTGAAGGTTTTTCATTGGTACTGCTAAGTATAATAGTGAAAAATGCCAAATCACCAACAACCATCTATTGGGAAAAAAGTGATTAATGCCCTTTGAAACAGCTTTTCTGTGGATTAAAATTTAAAGGAAATTGTTGATGGAAAATCAGTGGTACCCCAAAATGTGAACTTTGCTGCCACTTTATTTAGTCTTATCTTGAGTAAAAGCCTTTAATGGACTTTGATAAAATTTACTCTCGGGGCACCTGGCTGGTTCCGTTGTTAGAGCTTACGACTCTTGGTGTCAGGGTCATGAGTTTGAGCTCCATGTTGGGCATGGTACCTACTTAAAAAAAAAAAAAAAAAAAGAAACTTACTTTCATTATATAACAACGTGCTTACCTCTTGGTTTCTTCAGGTTTGCCTTATTTAATAATGAAGCATCTTTCCTTCTTTGACCTTCTTCAATTGGCCCTGCCTACTGCCTGTCTTTGCTATCCTGCTTTAATGTCCATAGCCCCGACATACTGTGCCTTGCCTGTCTCTCCCACACCAAAATGAGTACTGCAGGAGACCAGAACTTTGCTTTATTTAATGCTGTTTCAGTACTTGGACTAGTACCTGGCACATAACAGTGAATAAATAAATTGGTGACTGAACCAGTTGAGGATAATTTAGGGGAAGAGGGAAGAGTTTTGGATCAATTCTTTTTAAAGTGGTTTTGTGGGCATATTGAACCTCAGTAACAATATATTTTAAGCTCTTGGTGTTGTATTTTAAGGACATTCTAAGTCCAGTGGAATGATTTTGAACACTGCTTCCGTAGTGATATTTGTTGAGAGAAAAGGAAAACATCAGCTCAAATAGTTTTACACGATTCCTTCAGACTTCAGTCACCAAAATGGTCTCCTAAAAACCCTCCTGATTTTGGAAGAGGTAGCCACGCTGGTGCTTAAAAGTGACTTACGTGGGTATTGTATACTTTGTAGTGTTTACTCTTGCTCTGTGCCAAATAAAAATGTTTTTGTGCATGTTTTATCTTTGGGGCATTGCATCTTTGCTTTTCTTGAATTCCAAGTCAGTCTGGTAAAATAATTAATGTTGGCTTTTTTTTTTTTTTTTTTCCAGGGATTAGTTTGGTCATATCACTTCTACGCATTCTGCTGTGTCTGTTGAGGGCAGCAGTAACAGGCATATCACCTGTTTTTTGCTCTCTAATTTGAAATACGTAATTTTTCTGTAAAAGATTTACTTTCAGTTTGCTCAGACCCTTAATACATTCGTTGCTGTTTCATACTACATACACATCAATTGCTAAAGAATTGATATAGCCGTGGTTAGCAGTGGTCAGGTTGAGTTGGCCACCATTATCTTAGAAATACTAAGCCGACAAGCCAGAAATGCCTTTAATTTAGAAGTTAGCTGGTTGAATAGCATGATACTCTTGGAGGTATCAAAGTTATTAGCTAGTATGAATATGAACTCATGTTCAGATTTTCCTAATTGTCATAAATCTCTTTCCACATTGATTTGTTTGACCTAGGATCCAGAAAGGTTGAGGTGCCTGGCTGGCTCAGTCGGTAGAGCATGTGACTCTTGATCTTGGGGTTGTTACTTCAAAATAAAATCGAAAAAAAAGGAGGTTCACCCATTGGCTTGCTTGATGTATTCTTGTCTGTAGTAGTTCGCTTTCTCTGTGAGGGATAAATTCCAGGACCCCTGTGGTGGATGCCTGAAACTATCCATAGTACCAAGCCCTGTGATATATTGTGTTTTTTCCTGTATGACTTACCTATCATAAAATTTCATTTATAAATTAGGCAGAGTAAGAGATTAACAACAGTAATAATAAAATAGAACAATTATAACAATGTACTGTAATAAAAGTTATGTGAATGTGGTCTCTCCCCAAATCTTTTTTCTTAATTAAAAAACATTGGTTTTTTTTTTTTAAGTAAGCTCTGTGCCCAACCTGGGGCTTTAACTCACAACTCCAAGATCGAGTCGCAGGATATGCCACCTGAGCCAGTGAGACCCCCCTCCTCGAGTCTTATTTTACTGAACTTACCCTTCTTGTGGTGATGTGAGATGAGAAGCTGCAAACACATTAAGATGAAGTAAGGTGGATGATTCAGGCCTTTTGAGTGTTAGGCTACTGTGTAGTGACCTTCTGAAGGTAGGTCAGGAGGGTCATGTGCTTCGAGACCTCAGCTGGCCTCGGGGAACTGAAAACCGCAGATAAGGCAGGACTGCTGTGCTATGTCTCCGCCTCTGCCGTCTTTCCCATACCGTTTATTTCCTGAAGAAATTGGGTCATTTGTTCTGTAGGAATTCTGACATTCTGGGTGTGGCTGATTGCTTCCCAAGGTTGTTAGTTAATTGGGCAATCTAATCCCTTTATATCTTAAAAACTGGAAGTTAGGTTTTGATTAAATTCAGGTTCAGTTTGTGTTTTTTTGCCTTTTATTTTTTTGGGAAGAATGCTTCATAGGTTGTGCTTAGCACTTCACAGTGCATCAGGAGGAGTTGTCAGAACTTGTCATTTTAGTGATACTACAGTTGATTAGTAAGTTTAGGTGTTAATAACCTTTTTACCTTTATTTCAGAAAAGCTTGATTCTTTACTCTCAGACTACGATATCCTCTCTTTATCCAATATCCAGCAGCACTCAGTAAGAAAACGGGATCTACAAGCCTCAACACATTTAGAAACACTACTAACTTTTTCAGCCTTGAAAAGGTAATTTGAATTATTTATAGAAAAATACTGGGGCAATGAGGGACTTAGTTTGCCAGAAGTAGAAAAATAAGGGTGTTTACTGAGGTCTTAGGAAGTTTTAAAGATTTTAAAGATTTGTAATTGATATAATTACAGTCAGTCATGATTCTTAATACTGCTTATTCTAAATAAAATTCATAGTGATGATTATTAAAAACAAGCAAATGGATATTTCAAAGGTATTAATGATGGTAATAATGTTTATGGGATGGATTCTGACAAAGGATTTTGATTGATGGAATGATTTATAATACCTCAAATTTTTTGTGCTACTTTAGAACCATCAGCTATGTACTAAATATTATCTTTATATGTGAAGATACTAAAGTTTAGAGGTAAAGGATTTGTGCAGGACCCCACAGCCTAGTGGTAAGGTGGATGTAGAATTCAGTGCTCTGTGTATATTGAATTTCTCTTACGTTGTAGCATAAATGGGGCAGTAAGTTTACTTTCTCTTATGTTTTGCAGGTTTAAATCTATCAGAATATTGCAGACTTCTTTCTAAAGTTTTTAGGGAGCTTACTAATATCAAAACAAACACTGAGAGAATATAAATGAACTGAATCATTCTATATTCATAGGTTAGACCTTCCCTCACAAATATTTAAAATGACTTTTTAATGTTTTAATTTTGAGAGACAGAGGATGAGTGGGGGAGGGGCATAGAAAGGAGGAGACACAGAATCTGAATCAGGCTCCAGGCTCTGAGCTGTCAGCAAAGAGCCCGACAACACAGGGCTAGAACTCATGAACTGTAAGATCTTGACCTGAGCTGAAGTTGGATGCTCAACCGACTAAGCCACCCAGGCATACCCCCCACCAACAAATATTTTAAAAAAGGAAAGTAATACATACACCTGGTTTAGAAAGCAAACTATGAAGGGTATAAGAAGTTTTCACTTCCTCCTCAGTCAAACTTCCCAGATCCAGAGAGGTTTCCTATATAAACATCTAAAAGCTTCTACATCATATTTTTGGTCTATAGATCTGTATACATATAGGTGATATGGATAAGTAGATTTACCTCATTTTTAACAGCTGCATAATATTCCTTTGCATAGAATTATAACTGTTTATTGGCTAGTAACCTACAGAGAGATACGTTTAACCACTGAAGTGATTTTTTTTCTGTAGCAAATAATGTAATATCTGTGTGAATATACCTTGCCTTGGTATTTTTATGGGCTGCATTCCTGAAAGGAGAATGGGTCAAGGATATATATACTATAAATGTTTACTGATATTACCATACTTCTTCCCAGCCCAGTTTATTCTTATAGCAGGAGTATATGAGTTTACCCATTTCCAATAAAGTTTTATTAGCTTTTACTTTTTGTCCCTTTGAAAGAGGATGGTATCTCATAGTTGTTTTGATTTTCATTCTTTGTGAAATTGAGCATCTTTTCATGTGTAAGTCATTTTTCTGTGTCTACCATTTTTTTTTAATTAAAAAAAATGTTTTATTTATTTTTGGGAGAGAGACAGTGTGAGCAGGGGAGGGTCAGAGAGAAAGGGAGACACAGAATCCGAAGACAGGCAGCACCGAGCCTGATGCGGAACTCGAACCCATGAACCGTGAGATCATGACTTGAATCAAAGTCAGACCCTCAACTGACTGAGCCACGCAGGCGCCCTTGTGTCTGCCTTATCATACCCTTTTACCATTTTTCTGTTGGATTAATTCTTTTGGTTACTGAATCAGAGTCATGCTTAGCATATTTATCATTTATCATATGGGTACATGATATTTTATGCAAATATATTTTCTAGTGTCTTTTTGTTTTTCCTAGTTATTGCCATCATCCTTAGATTATCTATTTTTGAATAATTTCTTTCTGTTAAGAGTTCATGTCAATATATTGCAATATTGGTGATAGAGCTTCCAGACCTGTAGCAAATTTGAGCAGAGTGGTGATGATAATATAGTTTATCAGTTGCTTATTTTGTGTAATTTACTTCAGTAGGCACTTTGCTTATCTCTAATTCTCACCGTACTCCACAAAAAAATTTTTGTCAATCTCTGGGGGAAAAAAATGGAGACTCGGAGAGGTTGGGTAATTTGCCTAAGGTCATTCAGCTAGTAAGTGGAAGATAAAGGATTTGATTACATGCCTATGTTATTTCTGCTGTGCTGATGGAGATTTTGGTGAGGGAGTGGATGGAGTAGTAAGAGATGAATAGGATCAAAGGATGAGGGGACAATGGCAAAATAAGAAAATTTAGCATTCTAGTTTTTTGTTTTTGTTTTTGTTTTTTTATAAATTAGGTTTGAGGTACCTCATAGAATCTTTTCTGTAGAGGAAAATACTCCCGTCACCTTACGTATTCTTTCATTTCATAGATGTCATTTATTCAGTAAGAAAATGTTCAACAGTACCTACCTATTATCATCTCTCTCTATAAGGCAGCAGAGAAATTTGTAATATAGTTTACAGAGTTTCCATCTCAAATGTTTAAGTGGAAATGTATCTAACAATGTATGATAACTTTGGACCAGGTACTTTAAAATAGTTGATTTCATTTAACCCTGAAAACCATTCAGTTAGTAGGTGGTATTATTTTCATTTATAGATGAAGATACTTAGGTTCAGAGCTTAAGGTCAAGATCAAGCATGGAGTAAGTGGTAGAGACAGGATTTGAACTAGGTTTGTTAGACTCCAAAGCCCCCACCCTTTCCTTTCTGTTACACTGTTATTAAAAGAAAAAAAATTTAAGATATTTGAAATGATCAGTTTATATAGAGCTGAACTTACCAGTGTGAAGTTACTCATTACTTGATGGTGATGGTAAACGATTAGATTTCTGGTTTTAGATAGTAAAAGAGTAATTTAAACCAAGATCATAAAATTAAATGTATATATGACTATTATGTTAGCGGTTGAAAAACATGGAACCACTGAGAAATTTTAAGAGGAGTTAAAAAGTAGTTTTATGAAGAAAAACTGTTTGAAATTTGCCTAGAAGTTACATTTCCTCTGTTTTATAAATCAAAAAATACTATTATTCTAAAGAAATGAAAAAGTTAAAAATATTGTTTTGTTTTAGTATTTATTTTTTTAATATTTATTTTTGAGAGAGAGAGAGAGAGAGAGAGAGAGAGAGAGGGTGAGAGCAGGGGAGGACAGAGAGAGACAGAGACACAGGATATGAAGCAAGAAGCTCCAGGCTCCGAGCTATCTGCCCAGAGCCCGACATGGGGCTCGAGCCGTGAGATCGTGACCTGAGCTGAAGTCAGATGCTTAACTGACTGAGCCACCCAGGTGCACCTGTTTTAATACTTTTTGATAATGTTACATTTAAAAAGATTTAAGTATTTGTTCCTCTTAAAAGTGAAATATCTCCAATTACTTGAAGGGGGCTAGAACTGATAAAGAAATGGAAGCGATCCATATCCAGCTAAATGGAATATTGAAATTAGATACAAGGTGCAAACTTCCAGTTATAAATAAGTCTTGGGGATATAATGCACAGCATGGTGACTGTGCTTAGCATATATGATAGTTGCTAAGAGAGTGGATCTTAAAAGTTCTCATCATAAGAAAACAAATTTGTAACTCTATGAGGGGACATTTAATTAGTCGTTATATAATCTCTACAGAAAAAGAGGAAAATACTGTTAATTCAAGTGGATTAACACTGGTTTGTAGCTACCATAAATCCTTAAAACGGAGAGAAATGAGGGTGTCTCTAATTACGTGATCTCACATAGTTTTGGGAGGATAAAGCAAGTTATAAATTGACTGACCCATCCCGTCGGAGGTTTTATAGCTCAAGAGTGAAGACTGGAATGTCAAAAAACAGTTTTACCATTTCTTGGTCCTTGTCTTTACAGAAGAGCAGGTTTTTAACGTAGAAAACAAAGAGTGCAAGTCCAATGATTTTTCTGGAAAGAACAGTCAATAAAAGTAATGTTGAGACTGTTAGAGGGCTCTGAGACTAAATAATAAGTCATTTATAATAAGATGCTTCTCCTTTCAGAGTCCTCAGCATAACGGACAGGGAAAAAATCATAGCTGTGAATGTGTGGGAAGATGTGTTTTAGGATAACAGGAGAAAATGTTCCAAGAATTTCTGAAATAATGTCCTATTGTCTCTCCCTCTGACCATTGAAAAACCACAAGCAAACTAAAATTACTTTGTTATGCACAAAAAGTTAAAAATATTTGTTACCATGGAGACAGTCCCAGTCTGGCTTCTTTTTGGCAGCTCGGACTACGCATACCCATAGGGAATTAACATTTCATGGTTTTAACCCCCCACCTGACACAGTTTGTTCCTGTGGTTGAGATGAATCACATCTTTATCTTTGGCGTTCGTGGGCACACTGAAAGGGTAAATAATAATTGAAAAATTCTTGCTCACCACACCCAGGTTTTATGTCAGGACTGAAACTGGTAGAAAACAAAAGAATATTAAGCCAGCTAAGGAACTGGCACATGTATTTTAATGTCTGTGTTGGGTACCTAATATTTACTTTCCTGATAGTAATTGTGGATTAATTTCTTTCAAGATGGGTTCTCTTTAGGAGGAGGAAAGAAAAGCATGAGTGCTTTTAAATATAGCAAGTAGCATTTAATAATTTTGCACAGCAGTGAGACCTGCTCGATTACTAGAGTCAGGGTGGTACAGGCTTCTGAAATAAACCAAGTTCAGTGTCCAGTTTCCTCATTTACTAGCCGTGTAACCTTGAGTATGTTGATGAACCTCCAGCCCTCAATTTCTACCGTGTGAAGTGGAGATAGTATAAAGAAAGCATGTGGTGCTGAGTAGGTATTCAGTAAGTGGCGTCTGATACTATCAGTCTTTGATAAATTTTTCAGACAAGCAGGATTAACTTAAAGTATTGAGATGTGTGTTTTCTTATTCTTAAAATTTTTTAAAAATGTTTATTCATTTTTGAGAGAGAGCATGAGCAGAGACAGAGATAAAGAATCCGAAGCAGCCTCCAGGCTTTGAGCTGTTGGTATAGAGCCCAACAAGGGGCTCAGACCCACAAACCGTGGGGTCATGACCTGAGCCACAATCGGATACTCAACCAATGGAACCACCCAGGCGCCCCTTGTTTGCCAGATTCTTACAGTTAAAAGAAATTCGTCTGTTCATCTTTATCAGGGATATAACACTAAGTACCTAGTAAAGTAGTAGTCATTACTTGCATAGTTGTTTATTATTGTCAACTTTCTTGACAGCATTTTTCTTCTTTTTTCTAAAGAAACTTTAATTTCATGTTCTTAAAGTTTTATGTGCAAATTTTATGTGCTTTGAGTAAACTATGGATGCGTTCTTTCTTTAGGCATTTTAAATTATACCTGACCTCAAGTACTGAACGCTTTTCGCAGAATTTCAAAGTCGTGGTGGTAGATGGTAAAGATGAAAGTGAGTACGCCGTCAAGTGGCAGGACTTCTTCAGTGGACACGTGGTCGGTTAGTATGGAGCTCGTTTGTGTGCCCTTGTGTCCAGGGCCTCAGGGGTCTGGGTCTCGTTGGATTGCCTGTTCTTTTTTGGTGGGAGGAAGAAAGGGTGTCAGAGAAGTGCCATTCTTTGTTTTATTTGAGGTATGGAAGTTTGAAGCTGGGAACATTCAGACAGGAAGAAACGGGTATTATCCAGTACGTATACTGTCTTTTTAAGTGATTAAAATTAATTTCCTCCCAGGTGATGAGAATTTAAACTCCTCTTGTCTCCAGGAAAGGATTATAGGCTTCTCTGATGGGATTTTAAACAGGGAAGCTAGAAGATGAAATAATTGACTTTATGATCCTGTTAAGTATTTATTTAAGACAATATATCAAACAGGGAATTGTGGTCTACTTCTCAAACTTTCTCTGCAGAAAAAAGAAATGGCATTAAAATCTGCAATTATTGCAGTTCAAACCCTGTATATTCCAGATCATGCTTTCTGCCTCCTCTTAGTTCTTTCTTAACCAAAAGTAGGTAAAGTTATTCAGGAAGAACATCTACACATTTGTTTTTGGTTTTGTTCTGTAACAAACTCTAGATAATTCTTACAAGAGGACTGAGGGAAAGAGAAAGGTTTTAAATGAGTTGAGGCTACTCTTTCAGAGTGTGAATATCTTGCTCCTTGCTGGGGCCTGTGTTTCTTTGGTGTAGATTTCTACAGTCCCTAGGCAAACTCCACTGTGATGAAGGGGTTGGTTGATTTTTATTGACAGTAGTGTATAGTTTATTTTTTGATATAAGTATTTCTTAAAGATGGAATTCTTTTTTCTTATAAAGGTGAGCCTGACTCTAGAGTTCTAGCCCACATAGGAGATGATGATATTACAATAAGAATCAACACAGATGGAGCAGAATATAATATAGAGGTAAATCTGTGAATTTTTTTTGGAGGGGAGCTGTTAAAAGAAACCTGTTTCTCATTTGTTTTAAGAAGACTGAGGTCTTTGGGGCACCTGGGTTGCTCGGTCTGTTAAGTGTCTGACTCTTGATTTCAGCTCAGGTTATCACCTCACAGTTCGTGAATTCGAGCCCTGAGTTGGGCTCTGTGCTGACAGTGCAGTACCTGCTTGGGATTCTCCCTCCCTCTCTCTCTGTCTCTCTCTCTCTGCCGCTCCCCTGCTTGTGCTCATGCTCTCTCCCTCTCAAAATAAATAAACTTAAAAAAAAAAAAAATCAACTTAAAAAAAAGACAAAGGTCTTTAATTATGCTTACTTTTCCCCTTGTATTTGAAGTTTTTACCAGTGAAGTAAATGATCATGATTTTTTTATAGTAAAGAAGGTAGTAGTTTTTACATGTCTGAGAGGCTGCCATAAGATGCATCCTATATTTCTTTTTTTATTTTTTTAAGTTTAATTTTTTTAATGTTTATTTTTGAGAGAGAGCGTGGGTGCACGTGCATATGAGGGAGGGGGAGAGAGATAGGACAGGGGATCTGAAATGGGCTGTGTGCTGACAGCAGTGAGCCTGATGTCAGGCTTGAATTCATGAACTGTGCAGTCATGACCTGAGCCAAACCGACTGAGCCACCCAGGTGCCCCCTTTTATTTATTTATTTTGTTTATTTATTTAGGGGTACCTAGGTGGCCCAGTTGGTTAAGCATCCCACTCTTGATTTTGGCTCAGGTCATGATGTTATGGTCACAGGATCTAGCCCCACATTGGAGCCTGCTTGGGATTCTCTCTCTCCCTCTCTCTCTGCCCTTCCTCACTCGCGCGTGTGTGTGTGCGCGCACGCATGCTTGCATGCGCCCTCTCTCTCTCTCTGTAAATAATTAAATAAAATTAAAATAAATTTATTTTGAGAGAGAGAGCGAGAGCACGAGTGGGGCGGCAGGGAGAGAATCCCAAGCAGGCTCTGCACTGTCAGTGCAGGGCCCAGCGCAGAGCTCGAACTCCTGAACCTCCAGATCATGACTTGAGCCAATGTCAAGAGCCAGACGCTTAACTAACTGAGCCACCCAGGTGCCCCTGATGTTTATAGACTTTATTGCATAATTCTTATCTGCACATACCTTGATATAAAAATTATTGTATAAAATCTCAGACATAAGAGTAAACAGGGAAACGTATATATCTTATTTTTAACACTTCACCATTAAACATTTTAAGCCATCAGTAATTTTATTGCCAAATCTTGCTATTTATGTGTAAATAAGTCTACGTTAAAACCTTAATCATAAGATGATTGTTTGGATCTTTAATTATGCTTACTTTTCCCTGTATGGGTTGGTTGGTTAATCATCTGACTCTTGGTTTTGGCTCAGGTTTTGATCTCCCCATTCTTGAGATCCACATCGGGCACTATTCTGGCAGTGCAGAGCCTGCTTGGGATTCTCTCTCTCCCCCTCTCTCATTCTGCCCTTCCCCAACTTTCGCGTGCACCTGTGCGTGCACACATGCAATCTCTGTTCCTTTCTAAATAATAAACATTAAAAAGAAAATAGATGGGGGCGCCTGGGTGGCTCAGTTGGTTAAGTGTCCGGCTTCGGCTCGGGTCAGATCTCATGGTTCATGGGTTCGAGCCCCGCATTGGGCTCCGTGCTGACAGCTCAGAGCCTGGAACCTGTTTCAGATTCTGTGTCTTCCTCTCTCTCTGCCCCTCCCCTGCTCATGCTCTGTCTCTCTCTGTCTCAAAAATAAATAAACTATTAAAAAAAAAAAAGAAAATAGATGGTTCCCCCTCCTTTTGCTTTGAAAATGTTCAGATTTACAGAAGGGTTTTGTAGATATCCCGTGACCTTTCATTAACTGGTAGCATACTACCGTGTTTGCTTTATTCTTTTTTTCCCCTCAAAGGGAAAATAAGTTTCAGACGTCATGACAGTTTGCCTCTAAGTGCTTCAGTGTACGTCTCCTAACATTAAAGGTTCTCTTCTACACAGCCACAGTGAAAATAACACACCTGAGAAAATGAAAGTAATTCTGTAGCATTATCTAATAATGTATTCAAAATCTCTAGTCATCCTCAAAATCTCCTTCATTGATGTTTTTGCCCCAATTTAGGGTCCACTTAAGATTCTTCCCTCTTTTTTTTTTTTTAAAAAAAATTTTTTTTTTAATGTTTTTTTTTAATTTATTTCTAGGAGAGAGAGAGAGAGAGACAGCATGAGCAGGGGAGGGTCAGAGAGAGAGGGAGTCACAGACTGAAACAGGCTCCAGGCTCTGAGCTGGCAGTCAGCACAGAGCCCGACGCGGGGCTCGAACCCACGAACCGCGAGATCATGACCTAAGCGAAAGTCGGACGCTTAACCGACTAAGCCACCCAGGCGCCCCAAGATTCTTCCCTCTTAATTAGTTGTTCATCAGTTGACTTTGGCAACTTGTTAATGGTGATGATAGGACTTGCTTCTATTAGTAATAGTAAGTACTTTTATCTTGAAATCTTAATATATATATTAACTGGATTCATTATTTTATATTTTTTTTAGGATAAGTATATCAGTATTTTACCCAATGAAAAAAATTATGTTTGGGTAAGTTACTTTTTGAAGGCACATAGTAGGTACAGTTGAGGTTTGAGCCAAGATATCTCTGATCCCAAAGCCTGCTATCTTTTTCTGTGTTAGACTGGCCATGTTAGGAAACTCTTAATATAAATTTAGAGATGTTTGATCCAGAAGACAACATTTTTTTCTCTCTTCCTATTTGTCGGCCAAATGACAGTCCCTACAACCAAGGAGTTGATTAGGTAACTTTTTGAGGTTTCTGCTAGCCCTGTGGTTCATTATCTCTTTCTTTCTTTTTAAGTTTTATATTAGCATGAGTAGGGGAGAGGAGCGGGGGTGGGGTGGGGTGGGGGGGGTGAGAATCTTAAGCAGGCTCCATGTCAGTAAGGAGCTTGACATGGGGCTTGATCTTGCAACCCTGGGATCATGACCTGTGCTGAAATCAGGTCGGACACTCAACTGACTGAGCCATCTAGGAGCCCCACTGGCTCATTGTTTCTTAGATCTACTTCATACATGGATTATGAAAGAAGATAGACACACACAAACACACACACGACCGTTGAACAACATGGATTTCAACTGCCTGGGTCCACTATATGCAGGTCTTTTTCAATAAATATATTAGAAAAATTTTTTGGAGATTTGATAGTTTGAAAACACGGATGAACCATGTGGCATAGAAATACTGAAAAAATTAAGGCAAAATTGGGTATTGTAAGAATATGTATACAATACGTGTAATATACAAAATATGTGAATCAACTGTTTATGCTGTTGTTGAGGCTTCTGGTCAGGAGTAGGCTGTTAATATTTGTTTTGGGGGCATCAGAAGTTACATGTGCTGGATTTTCAATTGCATGGGGGTCAGTGCTCCTAATTCCTGCGTTGTTCTAGAGTCAGCTATATTTAACAGCTTTATTGAGATAAAATTCACGTTTATAAAGTTCACACATTTAAAGTATGTACTTCATTGGCTTTTAGTGTACCGCAGGCAGCCATCACCACTCAGCAGTGTTGGAGCAGTGCCGTCACCCCGAGGAGAAACACTGTGCTCTTCAGCTGCCCCCCACCCTTTGCCCCCAGCTTCCCTAGACCCAGGGAACCACTAATCTGGTTAGATTTGGTTGGTCATTCATATAAATGGAATCACAATACGTGGTCTTTTGAGATTGGCTTTTCTCATGTAGAATGTTTTTTATTTTTTAAAATTTTCTATAATTAAAAAAAAAAATTATTTGAAAGAGCACAAGTCAGGGGAGGGGCAGAGAAAGAGAGAGAGAGTCCCAAGCACGGTCAGCACAGAGCCCCATATGGGCTTGAACCATGAACTGTAAGGCCATGACTGGGGCCTAAGTCAGACGCTTAACTCACTGAGCCCCCAGGTGCCCTCACTTAGAATGTTTTCAGGGTCCATCCATGTTGTAGCTTGTGTCAGGACTTCATTTCTTTTTATTGTCAAATATAGTATATTTTATGGCTGTCACATTGTGCTTATTCATTCATCAGTTGGACATTTGGGTTGTTTTCACTTTTTTGGGGTCTTAATGCTGTTATGAACATTTATGAACAAAAGTTTTTGTGTGAGTATGTATGTATTTTCAGTTCTCTCGGGTTTATAGTAGGAGTGGAATTCTGGGCCATATGGTATCTCTGTTAACGTTTTGAGGAACTGCCACACTGTCTTCCCTAGTGGCTGCTCTTTACATTCTACCGTTTTACATTCCATAGTATGTGAGCCTTCTGACTTCTCCACATCCTCACCAGTACTTGTTATTATTTGTCTTTGATTCTAGCCATCCTAGTGGATGTGAGTTGTGTTCTGTGGTTTAGATTTTCATGTCCATGATGGGTATGGGGGTGTGTGTGTGTATAAAATACTGTTTTGTACTTTCCTCACAAGCTGCCTAGTTTTGATGAGACCAGCATCCTTACAGGCACTGTGTTCTTGCCTTGGGTAACTTTTCAAGTGTGTTCTGATTTGCTGTGACCTTGCAATAGGAGAAGCAGAGATTCTTTAGACACTGCTTTCCTTTGAAAGTGATAAGTTTTAGGCACATTGCTGTGACGTTTCAGTCTTCCCTTCTGTGTGCAAAACCTTCGTGGCACAAAGATACCAAGGAAGGCGGAATGAGAACACCACGGCCCGTCTCCCGCTCCTGCTGGGGTAGGGTTGGTGTGCAGCAGGCACTAACTACATAAATGTTTTTCAGTGATTGTTAAAGGTTATGCATTTTCTCTTCTGGAGCTTCTAAAAGGTTTTGTAACTTGTACAAAATAATGCTGCTTCATATATACATAAAATCAAAGAGTGAATAATCCATGTGTTTATTTACCAGCATAGAAACTCTGAGAAAAAATGAAATGATTTATTTTTGATTAAATGGCTAATCAGTTTACTTAACCTGGAAATGAATGTCCTCTAGAAACAAAGAATGTTAAGAATTTAGTGTTGAAGAATCTTACATTTTGCATCTCAGTTATGTATGTTTTCTATTTTAGCCACTTTGGAGACTAATTAACGATACTAAAGACAAAAGAATGTTAGTTTATAAATCTGAAGATATCAAGAATATTTCACGTCTGCAGTCTCCAAAAGTGTGTGGTTATATAAAGGCGGATAATGAAGAGTTGCTTCCAAAAGGGCTAGTAGACCAAGAGCCACCTGATGGTAAGACTTGAAAAGTATTTTTCAAATAAGCAAGCATGATGTCTGTCTTCCGTAGGGGTGATTGTTAATTGATGGCGGTGGGGGGGGTGGGGAGCTATTAAGTAATTATAGTATTTAACTTGAAAATAGAGTTTTATTCAGAAATTTAATTCTTTTGCTTATAATGTAAGAATCGAAAACACTAGAAAATAATGGAACAGTAAAGATTGGAAAAAGACTACAGAAAGGGGAAATTGAATAATCTGAGGGGATTTTTTTTTTTGTAAATATTAAAGAAGGATTGATCATATATAATGTTTAAGTGGGTGTGGAGAGGAAGGAAAGTTCTTTTATTTGGAGTATTTAGAAATGAGAAAATAGTACCATTGAGAACAATCTTTAGATAAGTTTATAAGAAATTAATTGTTACCAGGAGAAGTCTGTACTTTTTAGACTCTGAAGGGTATCAGTCTAGGGACAGATTAGAGTCCTTTAAAAACAAGACCGTCTTGGGGACGCCTGGGTTGCTCAGTCGGTTAGGCGTCTGACTTCAGCTCAGGTCATGATCTCACAGCTTGTGGGTTCGAGCCCCGCGTTGGGCTCTGTGCTGACACCTCAGAGCCTGGAGCCCGCTTCAGATTCTGTGTGCCCCTCTCTCTGACCCTCGCCTGTTCACGCTCGCTCTCTCTCAGAAATAAATAACACATTAAAAAAAATTAAAAAAACCCCGAAACCGTCTTGGAGAAATACTCTACTGTCCTCAGTTTTAAAAATTTAGAAAATTTATTACTAACATTTTAATATATAAATACATAAGTTCTCAGTTTGATATTTGCTAAGGAAAATGACCTATTACCATGTCTGATTATCTTTATAGTTTTACCATTTGGTTAATTCATAGACGTCTAGAAGAAAATGACAATTTCATAGCCCAGAAATAAGTTAGATGCTTGTTTTATTTTAAATACTTTTTAGTGTCCTCATTTTAAAAATTAAGGAGGCACTTTTCCTTGGTTTTGAATTCCACAATTAAAAAAATGTTTTTACTGTTTATTTAGAGAGAGAGACAGAGTGTGAGTGGCGGGGTGGGGGGGTGGATGGACAGAGAGAGAGGGAGACATAGAATCAGAAGCAGCTCCAGGCCCCGAGCTGTCAGCACAGAGCATGATGTGGGGCTCGAACTCATGGACCTGAGATCACGACCTGAGCCGAAGTGGGCGCTTAATGGACTAAGCCACCCAGGCGCCCCTGAATTCTATGATTTTTAAGGAGGTTTTTAAAATTTGTTTGTTTATTTACTTTTGAGAGAGAGTGTGTGGGGGAGGAGCACAGGGAGACAGAATCTGAATCGGGCTCTGTGCTGACAGCAGAGAGCCAATGTAGGGCTCGAACTCACGAACTGTGAGATCATGACTTGAATTCTATGATTTTATTTTATTTTATTTTATTATTATTTTTTTAATGTTTTATTTATTTCTAGGAGAGAGAGAGAGACAGCGTGAGCAGGGGAGGGTCAGAGAGAGAGGGAGTCACAGACTGAAACGGGCTCCAGGCTCTGAGCTGGCAGTCAGCACAGAGCCCGACGCGGGGCTCGAACCCATGAACCGCGAGATCATGACCTAAGCGAAAGTTGGACACTTAACCGACTAAGCCACCCAGGCGCCCCATTGAATTCTATGATTTTAAAACCTCATATTATTTTTCACTTTTCTGTCTTGCTCCAAATTGTTTTTTTGTTTAAGGTATCTTTAAAGATACTAAGCACAAATAATGTTTGTTTCAAAAATATGCTAGATTTAAAGGGTTACTGTAAAAAACCTCCTTGTTTTGATGAATTTTGATTTAATAGTGCATACAAATTCATATTAGAGCTTGTCCATCGGGTGAAGAGAAGAGCTGACCCTAATCCCATGAAGAACACGTGTAAATTGTTGGTGGTAGCAGATCATCGCTTTTACAAATACATGGGCAGAGGGGAAGAGAGCACAACTACAAATTACTTGGTACGTATCTGATACTGGATCCGGTCACTGGACACAAAGATGCAGTTAGGCAGGCACATTACATAGAAGAGAAGACTGCTGTGATGTGCAGTGTAATGAAACAAGATCTGTGTCAGACGCCCTGTTATTTCCTAAATATTTGGGAGCTCTCTGAGGTTCTTAGCAATACTCTGTAGAGATTCTAGTTTCAGATTTTTGAAACCCCATTTTACCTTTGAAATAATATTTTCTGCACGTTAGAATTTTTATGCGTATTAGGTTTAGGGAGAGTTCATAACATAGGCTTCCCTTCTGTTCAAGTGAACTTTCTGAAAACATCACTGCTGTAATGGCCGTGATCCTGTTGGTGACTCATGTATGGATGTCTGCTCTAGCGTGGAAAGAAAAGTAATTGTATGAACCTGTGTGTGTTCTTTGCCTATGTATATATTTCAGAGGAGCTGGTCTGCTTGTTTTATGTTGTATAAAATAGCTAATTGTTGGAGTATAACTATGTGGAATAGATGGGACTTTCATGGTCGTAACTGTAAAGATTCAAAGGAAAGATTACAGAAGTATTGACACGGGTTTTAAGCCTTTACTATTATAATTTGAAAAGCCAAGGGAGTCTTATTTCATTGACATTTTTTGTTGATATGATCTCATTCGTCATGATAACTGGGCACTGACAAAATGTTGTTGTTGAGGGAATCAAAGAGAATACAGCTATTCATAAACCAAGAGCTTAGGCCCAGAAAGACGCCTTTCTCGTTGCCTTGCGTGTTCCCTTCTCTGTGTTTCATTCGTACCCTCCCTCGCCCTTCTTTCCTTCCTCTTCCAGTGTCATGTGAAAGAATTTATTATGAGGGGAGTAGGAGTAGTGTGTGAAGTCACTGTAATTCTTGTTCCGAATTAAGGGAGATTGTTTCTTGAAAAAGCTCCTTTCTTAATGTGGGTTTTGTATTAAGATATCTTAATTTCCTTTTTCTGTTCATTACACCACAAACATGAATATAATGAGAGGTTTAGTCTTAGAAATTGCATTTTTTAGTTTTACACGTACTATAAACAAAACACTTTCTTAGGTCTGTAACGTGCTTCACAGTTACTGGAACAAACCTCGAGCCAGTTTTTGAACAATAGAATAGTCTCTGAAGAAAAGATAGGTAATGAGCATTTTGTTCTGATGTAGTTTGAATCATCCTTGCCCTCCTCCCCCGGTCTTGTCTGCCTCCGTTCCCTTCCCACAGCAGAGGACAGAAGGGAGGACTGTGGGGCTTCACTCCTCTGTCTCTGCCTGGTTCTTGGTGCTGGGCTTGGCCCAGGGAGGCTCGGGGAGAGGTTGAACAGTATCTGTCCCTGCTCCTCGCCTCGCCTGGCCTCTCCTCTCCTCGCCTCCCTTCCCTTCCCTTCCCCTCCTCTCTCCTCCCTTCCCCCTCTCTCCTCCCTTCCCTCCTCTCTCCTCCCTTCCCTCCTCTCTCCTCCCTTCCCTCCTCTCTCCTCCCTTCCCCTCTCCTCTCTTCCCTCTCTCCTCCCCCCCTTCCTCTCCCCTCCCCCCCTCCTCTTTTTTCGAAATTTTATATTTTGTTTAAATCCAAGCTTACCTACGGTGTACTGTTGGTTTCAGAGTAGAATTCAGTGATTCATCACTTACATACAACACTCAGTGCTCATCCGAACAAGTGCCCTCCTCCTTAATGCCCATCAGCCATCTAGCCCCTCCCCCCCCCAACAACACCCCTTCAGCAACCCTCAGTTTATTCTCTGTATTTAAGAATCTCCTGTGGTTTGCCTCCCTGTTTTTATCTTATTTTTCCTTCCCTTCTCCTATGTTCATCTGTTTTGTTTCTTAAAGTCCACATGAGTAAAATCATATATTTATCTTTCTCTGACTTATTTTGCTTAGCATAATATATTCTGGATCCATCCATGTTGTTACAAATGATAAGATTTCATTCTTTTTGATCACCAAGTAATATTCCAGTGTGTGTGTGTGTGTGTGTGTGTGTGTGAGAGAGAGAGAGAGAGAGAGATAGAGAGGGAGTGTGTGTGTATTCTTTATCCATTTGTCAGTTGATGAACATCTGGGCTCTTTGCATAATTTGGCTATTTAGGTTCCTCACCTCTTTCTGAGGAAGAGCATTTGAGGTTCTTGCTAAAAATTGGAGTGAAGACAGAATACTTCTTAGAATATTTTAGGTACATTGACTTTTAACTTTCATTATTGTGGTTGAATGGAATGGCAGTGTTTTAAAAAGTCTGTTACTTGATATTTTGGTTCCATATACAGTTGATAACCTAAAATTTGAGATTAACTGTACCACTTTTTTTTTTATTTTTTAAAATTTATTTGTGAGAGAGACCGAGTGTGAGCAGGGGAGGGGCAGAAAGAGATGGAAACACAATCTGTCTGAAGAGCTCGTGATCATGAGATCATGACCTGAGCTGAAGTCGGCTGCGGAACCGACTGAGCCACCCAGGTGCCCCTAACGGTACCACTTCTTGATTCTTGGAGCAGTACGTTTGAGAGTAGGAATAATTGTTGTTAATGTCATCAGTGATAAAGAGTAACATTTTTAAGTTTATTCTTGAGAGGGGCACCTGGGTGGTTTAGTCGGTTGAGCGACTTTTGCTTAGGTCATGATCTCGCGGTTCGTGGGTTCGAGCCCCGCGTCGGGCTCTGTGCTGACTGCCAGCTCAGAGCCTGGAGCCTGTTTCGGAGTCTGTGACTCCCTCTCTCTCTGACCCTCCCCTGCTCACGCTGTCTCTCTCTCTCTCCTAGAAATAAATTAAAAAAAAAAAAAACAACATTTAAGTTTATTCCTGAGAGATAGAGCGAGTGAGAGAGAGCGAGTGAGTGCATGCGCACTAGCAGGACAGGTACAGAGAGAGGGAGAGAAAGAATCCTAGGAAGACTCCGCAGTGTCAGTGCAGAGCCTGACATGGGGCTTTACTCATGAACTGTGAGATGATGACCTGAGCCAAAATGAGTTGGACGCTCAGCTGACTGCGCCACCCAGGCGCCCCAAGAATAACATCTTAATGCTTGTTTTATAATTGGTGGAAACTTTTTTGGTGCATTTTCTCTAAACTGACATTTTTTTTTTTTTAATGTTTTATTTCTAGGAGAGAGAGAGAGACACAGCATGAGCAGGGGAGGGTCAGAGAGAGAGGGAGTCACAGACTGAAACAGGCTCCAGGCTCTGAGCTGGCAGTCAGCACAGAGCCCGACGCGGGGCTCGAACCCACGAACCGCGAGATCATGACCTAAGCGAAAGTCGGACGCTTAACCGACTAAGCCACTCAGGCGCCCCTTAACTGACATTTTTAACCCCCACAAAATTTATATTACGTTGCAAAGAGTGGTAAACATCTGCATGTCTTTTTCTTTTCTTTATAAACTCAGATAGAGCTTATTGACAGAGTTGACGACATCTATCGGAACACTTCATGGGACAACGCGGGTTTTAAAGGTTACGGAATACAGATCGAGCAGGTACTTACCAATGGATGTAGCTTTTATTACTCAGCTGAGCGATGCAACGTGAATACTTGTCACTTGTATTCAGGGTCTAGTAGCTTATCTTCTGCTCTGATCTTAAATATTTTCAAATGCCAGCGATTTTTATCTGATAAGTTGTGCAGTGTTTTTGAAATAATTATTTATAGATTGTGAGGGTTTTTGTTCTTAGGCTGTTGTAGGTAGAAAGCCTTTTTATGTTGCTGTGATTTCTTCTTTCTCAGAATTTATTGTTTTTATCCGCTTCATTGTTTTACTGTTTTTGATTATGCTTTATGGCTTTAGTCAGAATGCTGGTGCGTATTGCTGAATCGTTAGAAAACTTATTCATAAATACCGTGTACATTTGCAAGGCATTTATGCATATAGAGCCATTGGGTCTCTTTTCCCAAAAATCTGCTGGTGTCTTAGAATCTGTCCATAGAGTATGTCCAGCAGTGATATATCAATGTCATCTTAATTGTACCTCATAGTGAAAATGGTGTGAAATTGGTAAGACTGACTGAAAAGATTTCTGAAACCAGTTATTGCTTTGGACAGATATTTTAATATGGAAATTCTCTCTTGTTTTTTCCAGACTCTTTGTACTAAACGAACCATAGAATTCTTATCTAGGTTCTAGAGCATAGAATTTAGAGCTTAAAAAGCAAAACTTTTGAAATCCTGCATCCTACTATGCTTTATAAATGTTAAACTTTTATAATACTTGTATAAAACTAAGAGAATTATTTTTCCCTTTTCCATTCTCTTTTACTGTTTTGCATTTTCTTTTAAGTTATTATCTGAATAGGTAATGTAGACACATGGTACAAAAGCCAGTGAAAAGTAAGTGTTCTCAGCCTCTACCCACTGTCAAACCAGCCCCTTCCCGGAGACATCCATGTCACGAGTTTCCCAAGTATCATTCTAGAAGTACCTTGTGCATGTGCGGCATGTGGATGTGTATATGTGTATTTGACACCTGGTGGTATGCTCTACTCTTTTGCACCTTGCTTTTTCATTTTGCGAATATGTTGGTGATTGTTCCCTTACGGTACATATGAAGCTGCCTCACTTGTTTCAAACAGCTGCATCATGTTCGTTTTAGGGGACTAAGAAATAAAACTCCTTTTTGTCTTAAGAACTTAGAACCATTTGGAAAAATAGGTGCAGTGTAGGAGATAAAGATCTCAGCTTTATGGTGCTGATAACACTTGGGATGGAGGATGGGGTTTAGATGTGCAGGCGCAGTGGGCTTCCAGCTGTTTCATCCCAGAGTTGATCTTGACCACCTACCACCAAAGCTGCGGATGCAGAGCCCTCCCTGGGAGCTCACCGTGTGGTGGCAGATGAGCACACACTCTCTCCAGGCTGGCACATCCCGCATAGAGGCCGGAAATGGCTGGGCTGAGCATGGCATAGTCCTTTTCCTCAGCAAACTCACCAGTCGATAACATTTCATTTACTTTGGAGGAAAGCTTTTGTTCCCTTTTATTAAAGCGGGATTAACAGGAATTTTTACTATATGTGCAGGGGAAAACCCCTGTTCTTCATTTTCTTTTATTCCTGTGCAGTGATAGGCATCTAAGTGTTCTGTGTCTTTGAATCGTTGATTATATTGGAATAAATAGTTTAGGCTCATGGAACTCAGGTTCTCATTTTGTCAGACCAAATACAGAGGAAGTAAGAATTTAGGAGCACATTTATAAATTGATAAATCATTCATTGACATACATGTCTTCCATACCATATGCTTCTCCATTTGTTTTGAAACATGAATATTAGAGCTGAAGAATTTAATGGAATTTTGGTTTTAAAGCATTGTTTCTAGAATGGTAGATGATCTTATTTTGAATGGCTAAAACAGTGCAGTATTGAGAGTCTCGTGACTTTTTTCTGAAGTATTCTAAGTGTGTTGTCTCTTTAAGTATAGATTCGCATTCTCAAGTCTCCGCAAGATGTGAAACCTGGTGAAAGGCACTATAACATGGCAAAAAGTTATCCGAATGAAGAGAAGGATGCTTGGGATGTGAAGATGCTGCTCGAGGTAGGTGGCGGGGTCCTGAGTGGGACACTGTTAGCCTTTCCTGGTTTCTGGTACACGAGGTGTGTCTGCATTAATGAAGGGGCACATTAAAAGAGGTTATTGAAAATCAGGAGCAGCTTAGCCCCGCTAATCCAGCGGTGACCTCATCCCTGCAGCAGGGCAGACCGCATGATGGGCCAAAAAGTTGTGAAAATGAAAAATGCTAGAAAGCGGTGCTTCTTAAACTTAGTATCTTAGAATGTAGTGAAGTATTGGGACTTTAGGAGATAGATGGATACCCATATGTACATTTGTTGCACACCATTTTGCGCAGGTTTCTTTGAAACTCATTAGTAGATCTCGTAGGCCAGGATATGCCAAACAGTATGACAATGTGTTAGTAGAAATATAACTTGGAGACCTGAAAATTTTCTACAGGATTTAAAAATCTTTGTGTCTTGGGGCACCTGGGTGGCTCAGTCACTTAAGCCGCCAACTTCGGCTCAGGTCACAGTCTCACGTCTCCTGGGTTCAAGCCCTGCATCAGGCTCTGTGCTGGCAGCTCAGCTCTGCCTCTCCCCTGCTCGTGCACTCTCTCTCTCTCATTCAAAAAAATAAACACTAAAAAAAACAATAAAAATCTTTGTGTCTTTATTCTAGTGATAGGTTTAAAGACAGCCTAATCTCTGTCGTTTGGGTTCTTGACAGGGTATGATTGATCCTTTTTGCCACATGATATCAGTGTCTTGAGTTTGTATATGCTATTGCTTTGTTGTAAAATAACCTCATATGAAGTGATAGCAATCTTTTAATATGTTAGTGTATTGGTGTCCAATGTTTGCTCTAACAAATTACCGCAAGATCAGCAGCTTATAACAGTGCTTATGTATCTAATAGTTGCCATGGGTTAGTCCATGCATAGTGTGGCTCATCAGTCTCGCAAGGCAAAAATTAAGTTTTTAAAGCTTGAATGGAAGTAAAGGATATTCCCAACCCTTCATTCGGGTTGAGATCCATAGAGTGCTTCATCGTATAAACCCCTAACTGCCTTCTCTCCTGTGTTCCACTGCCACCCCAGAGCTTGGGACCACAGCACCATTCACTTTTTAAAAAAGAAAAAAAATTAAAAAATGTTTGTTTATTTTTGAGAGAGAAAGAGAGACAAGTGTGAGCGATGGAGGGGCAGAGAGAGAGAGGGAGACCTAGAATCCGAAGCAGGCTCCAGGCTCTGAGCTGTCAGCATAGAGCCCGACATGGGGCTTGAACCCACGAGCTGTGAGGTTGTGACCTGAGCTGAAGTCAGATGCCCAGCCCATCACCCAGGCGCCCCTTGCACCATTCACTTCTAAAGAGGCTCACCGAGTGTGTTAGTGTGTCATGGCCGTTAGGAACAAAGCACCACAGAGTAGGGGCTTAACAGAGCTGTGTGCCTCCTGGTTCTGGAGGCTGACAAACCAAAGCAAGCTTAAAAACAAACAAAAAAATACCCTGCAAAATGGTGTCTGGCTGGCTCAGTCAGAAGAACATGAGACTCTCGATCTTGGGGTTGTGAGTTGGAGCTGCATGTTGGGTGTAGAGATTACCAGAAATAAATGGAGGGGAGGTTAACCTATAAAACCGATAGAATCCTTGAAATTCTTTAGAGGGATCCCTTTTGGTATGAGGCGCTGCATCCTCTGAAGGGAACATCCAGGCCCTGAGACTGGCAGTGGGAATGTCTCCAGGTGCAGGCTACATGTCTCATACCAGCCCTCTTAGTTTTGAGCTGTTCTGAAAAGCTCCCAAGCTCCTCCCTGTCATACCCTCCTTCCCGACTAGACGGTGTTCCACTTCTTACCCATACAGGTGGGTGAGAAGTGGAGGTAATCGTAAGGCACAATTTCATGGGTTCCGAAGCAGGAGTGCGGTCAGTCTACGGTATTGTTCTCCAGTGTCTGTCTGAAACGTCTTTTAGTCTGATGTAATTGTTAATCTAATTAAGAATGCTTTTTTCCCTTAAAGCAATTTAGCTTTGATATAGCTGAGGAAGCATCTAAAGTCTGCCTAGCACATCTTTTCACCTATCAAGATTTTGATATGGGAACTCTCGGATTAGCTTACGTGGGCTCTCCCAGAGCCAACAGCCATGGAGGTGTTTGTCCAAAGGGTAAGTTTTCCATTTGTTGTGCGGCTATGTGAGAATGGCAGCGTGAGGAGATTATATTGTAATTCTCTGTTAAATGAGCAATTTGTCTACGTTTCCTTTGTCCTCTAGCTTACTATAGTCCAATTGGAAGGAAGAATATCTATTTGAATAGTGGTTTGACCAGCACAAAAAATTATGGTAAAACCATCCTTACAAAGGTATGTTCTCTTCTTTTTTATAAGGATAGATTTTGAGTTTATTGTAGTAGAACCTCAGCTTTATGTATTTATGTAGGTATCTTTTCAAAGAGCAATGAATGCTTTTGTTTGTTTCTGCCTAAAAAAATACATGTGTTTTGGTGGGAAATGTGAAAATAAAAAATACAAAGAAAAAGATAAAAGTTACCTGCGAGATTTCTTTTGAGACCCCGTGGGGCCATTGCTTTTCCTAAAGATGCCTCTCCGGGAGCCCTTCATCCTGTGGCCCCTCCGGGGCTCCTGGCCCTGCAGTGTAGCCGTCATTTGAAGACATCTCCAGATGCCCTCATTTCCTGCACCTCATATTCTTCCTCTTTCTTGATTTATACCATCACTTTGGTGTAGCGTATGTCCCAGAGCTTCCTAAGAAAGTGTACATGAGAGGCAAATAGGGATTTTTACGTATCTGAAAATGTCTTTCCCTACTTACACTTGATTGATAATTAAATTTTCTCAGTGCTGGAAGGCATTGCTCCATTGTCTTCTAGTGTTTTGTGTTACTGTTAGAATCCTAAGTCATGCCGATTTTTTACCCTTTGTATGTGACCAGTATTTTCCTCTAGAAGATTTTAGGATCTTGTTTTTGCCCAGATGTGTTAGGAATGTGTTAGGCACATTCCAGCAAATCCATACAACCGAAAAGCCAATAAACAGCGACTTAAATAATAGGGGTATTTGCCTCAGTCAACGACAAGCTCATGGAGAGCATCCTGTGGGGGCTGCAGCAGCTCAGTGGTACTCTCGGGGAGCCTGGGTCTTCCCGCTCTGGGCACAGGCCTCTGTCCTTCTGCTTTTCATCTCCTGCTCATGAGATTGTTCTCTTCCGTGTTGTAGAAAGGAGGACAAAGCCTAGTCTGTCCCTTTGAAAAAGCTTCTCTGTGTAAGTCCCACCCACTGGCTTTTGTTTATATTCCACTGGAAAGAGCCAGTCACAAGGCTGTCCTGCCCTCAAGGAAGTATGGGAACGTGGCTGTTTCAGCTGAGTATGTTGCCACCTGAGCCAGATTAGGATTTTTTAAGTAAGACAGAAGGGGAGAATGGATATGGATAGGAAATACTAATCTGATACCCTGGTAGTTTGGCTACGACGTTATCCTTGGTGTAGGTATTTTATTCCAGTGTGCTGGGCCCTTCAATCTGGACACTCCCAACTCCCACAGTCCCACTGATCCTCTGTTGCTGGCTGCATTCAGTAGGGCCCCATTTAAGAAATCACGGCCTAGCTGGCCAAAGCAGCTGATGGGTGAGTACTAGGGAATAACGTTTTCTTTGTGTGACCCTTAAGGAAGCTGACCTGGTCACAACTCATGAACTGGGACACAATTTTGGAGCAGAACATGATCCGGATGGCCTAGCAGAATGTGCTCCAAATGAGGACCAGGGTGGAAAATACGTCATGTATCCCATAGCTGTGAGTGGAGATCATGAGAACAATAAGGTGTGTATCTTTTGGAGCTTTTTTTAGGTTAAGAAAGAAAGGGGCTGTGTTTCATTATAATGAGAGCTCAGAAAAGCATTCTGTTCTAGAGATAGAGCTGCAGATTACAGAGTACCCCCAAAGTTGGCTGTGTGAGAGTGAAACATGGCCCATCAAATCTGGCTAAAGCTGTCATTTTGACTGTTGTCAAAGCTAATCATATGTTGGTTTGGGCTATCTGGAAAATTAGTGATAGTAATTGGAGTTTTAGATAGCAAGGTCTGGTGCAAGTCAAAAATTTCATGTCATTTCTTATATAAGTTGTCATTTATTTTTTTAAATTTTTTTAATGTTTTATTTATTTCTAGGAGAGAGAGAGAGAGAGAGCGAGCGTGAGCAGGGGAAGGGTCAGAAAGAGGGAGCCATAGACTCTGAAACAGGCTCCAGGCTCTGAGCCGGCAGCCAGCACAGAGCCCGACGCGGGGCTCGAACCCACGAACTGCGAGATCATGACCTAAGCGAAAGTCGGATGCTCAACCGACTAAGCCACCCAGGCGCCCCAAGTTGTCATTCTTTTTAACTCTGCAGTACTTAACAGCTGGCATGGGCTTTTTTTCTTTTTTTTAATGTTTATTTTTGAGAAAGAGACAGCGTTCAGGTTGGGGAGGGGCAGAGAGAGAGGAAGACACAGAATCCGAAGTAGGCTCCAGGTTCTGAGCTGTCAGCACAGAGCCCGACGTAGGGCTGGAACCCATGAGCCATGAGATCATGAGCTGAGCGAAGTCAGACACTTAGCCGACTGAGCCACTCAGGCACCTCTGCATGTTTTTATAAACTTCTGCAACAGTACATAATTTGCCAGACTATAAGCCTCCTGTGGGAAGGGCCCTTGCTTGTCTTGTTCACGGCTCTGTCTCCAGTGCCTCATATGGGTACCTCGCATGTTGTTGAGTAAATAAATGAACAGTGTGCTACTGAGGATTTCCGAGACTACACCAGTTCTTAGCATGGGGTACTGTGAACCCCTTCTGAAACTGTAAGAGCGGCTGTGACCGACTCAGAGTCTGAATTGAAAGTGTTCATCAGTGTCTGGTTCTAGCATTTTACCTGAAGTTAAACGGCACAGGCATCATGAAGAAAACATACTGGCTTTGTTGCTGAGTGAGGGCTGGCCGGCTCTGACTGGGGAAGATGGTGAAGGGTTTCTCCTGACTCTTCTTCCGAGAAGGGACTTAGCTCAGTGGAGCCTGGCACGGAGCTAGAGGACCAGATTATTTTTGTGTCTCCTTGGCCCTGACCTTGCTTTTGAAAGTGTCTTTCTCATGTTCTTTGTCCTCTTTTTCCTTGGCTATTATGTAGAAAGAGTGTCTTCCTCTTGCGTTGCACCTTTAGTTTTACTTTCCCTCTGCCTGACTGCTTGTGCCTGAGGCACTTTCCCTCCTCATTTCTGCCTACTCTTCCGACTTGTCACATTCCCTGTTGAGTTTTTCCTCCATTTTTCTGAGTTGTCTCTGCATTTCTGAGCATGTGCATTGTACAGTGCTATTCAATAGAAGGTTCTGGGATGATGGGAATATTCTGTGTTAAGACTGTAGCCACTACCCAGATGTGGCCATTGAGCACTTGAAATGTAGCTGGAGACACTGTGTAACAGAATTTTAAAATAAAATAAAATTTAAGTAACATTCTATTTGGGGTGCCTGGGTGGCTTAGTCGGTTAAGCGTCCGACTTTCGCTTAGGTCATGATCTCGCAGTTCGTGGTTTCGAGCCTCGCGTCGGGCTCCGTGCTGGCTGCCAGCTCAGAGCCTGGAGCCTGTTTCAGTCTGTGACTCCCTCTCTCTCTGACCCTCCCCTGCTCACACTGTCTCTCTCTCTCTCTCTCTCCTAGAAATAATAAAAATAAATAAATAAAAAAATAACATTCTATTTTATTTTAAAATTCTTCTTTATTTAAATTCAGTAGTGCTTGCCTGGGGCCAGAGGTAAGAATGGGAATTAACTGTAAAAGGACACAAGGGGTCTTTTTGGAGGCAAGAAAATGCCCACGAACTGACTTCTGGCAATGGACGTACCACTTAATAAAGTGACTAGAAATCATTGACTTGTACATTTGAGATGGGGGACTCTTGTGATCTGTGAAATATGTCTTACTAAAGCTATTAAAACAGCAACAACAAACCAGTGTGGGAGCACAGGGGAAGCGGTGAGGGTCCAGAGGAGTCATGAAGCCGGGAGGTGGTCGCTGTGGAAGCTGGTGAGCGGCACGTGGTTGTTCACAGTACCGTTCTGTCCATGTGAGGGAGCGTTTCTGTAAGAAACGTGGAGTGTGTGGTAAGGACAAATAAATTTAAGTAGCCACACTTGGCCTGTGGCTACAGTATTGGACAGTGAGCTCTAGATTACAGTCATTTGCTTCTTTGTTATGAGAATGGTGTCAGTGCTTTGGGGAAATAATCTTACTTTGCAGACTCTTCTTATACAGGGTCTCCTAAGTGAACTTTCCCCACGAGCTCTTCAAGCGGCTCGGTAAGGACTTCCTAGTGAGGACCGTGCCTGGCCAGGCCTTTTGTTTTTTAATCCAGGAAATACTAGTCTATCCACGCTGGATGTAGAGTTTACTTAAAAAAAAAAAGGACAAAAAAAGAAGTGCTAGTCTATTAAAAACAATTTATCCACTTATTTTGTCTTAAGCACATCATAGTTAGTGTATTTTCTATTAGTTTGGTTTGCCCAATTAATAAACTTCTTGTAATAATACACTGGACATCTTCTAATCTACAATTTAAATCAGTTCCTTAATAAAAAATGTTTTTAACTAGATAAAGAAGGTTCCAGGTTCCTTGACCTCAAAAGATAGGGCCTGGCACCTCCCGCAGACCAGCTGCTGAGAAGTGACATGCAGCCTGGTAGCATGTATGGCTGGCCTTCTGTGTGGCCAGATGGCCTGAGGGGTTTTTGGGACAAGAGGAGAGAGTGTGGGAAGGATGCAAAGAGAAGACCAGAGGTGTTCAGGGAGCATGGAGGCCACAAAGGGGAGAGCGGAGCAACGGTCACGTTTCCCTTAGCGCCGCCAAGGGGCCCCGCTGCTCTGCCGTGGCCTGAGGAGTTAGTGAAGAAGTCTTCTGATGGCTTCAGTGTGACTTCGAATTCTACGATCTCCTCTCATAAGTGAACTTATAAAATTGAGTTCATGGATCTGCAGTGCTCATGAATAAACCCAGCAAATTCTAACTGCCTGAGACCTAGACACAAATAACTAGGCCCCTTAAATATCTTTATTATAAAATAAATATCTTTACTATAAAATAAAAATCTTTACTATAAAAAATAAAAATCTTTAAAAAAAAAACAACAACAACTCAGTATTTCTGTTTAAGGTGATAAGGTCTTGAATGTCTTCCTGAAAGTAATCCTTTCAGGGCTCAGGGGTGGCTCAGTTGGTTAAGCGTCCAACTCTTGATTTCAGCTCAAGTTATGATCTCATGGTTTGTGGGTTTGAGCCCTGCATCAGGTTTTGCACCAACAGCATGGAACCTGCTTGGGATTCTCTGTCTCCCCCTCTTCTCTGCCCTTGTCCTGCTCATGCTTTCTTTCAAAAACTTTTATAAGTTAAATAAATAAAAGTAATTCTTTCGGTATCTGATTCAGTGGGGACGGTTACCTTTGGAGGGTCCTATGTTCTCAGCTCCTCAGGGGTGTGGTCTTCTTTGGGGTGAAAGTGAAGCCATTGTGACAAATGTGCAGCAACTGTGGAGACCCTCCCGCAAATACCCGTACTAAGTTTTCCTCAAGTCTCTTACTCCTTTTCTTGCTAATTTCAAATGGTTTGGAAGATGGACTCCATTTTAGAGCTCCTGGTAAAAATCCCCAAATTTATAAGGAAGTTATTTCTGTGGTTCTGTATTGCAAATGGTGGGGAAACTAGGGTAAAAGCTTCCTTTGAGATACTCTGCAACTGTAGAAATCACAAAGAAACTGTTAAAATCATGGGGACCCATGTGAATGTTTAGGTAATAATTTTGGATTTAATCTTTTAGTAGACTGTATGTAATATCATGCCGCTGATTGTGCTCAGCTATTTAAAAACTTCACGTTTAGGGAGGGAGGCAAATCACAAGAGACTGTTTTAAAGAGAATTTTTTTTTCTGTATTTCATTTTGAGAGAGAGAGGCAGAGAGGGAGCGGAGGAGGGGCAGAGAGAGAGGGAGACACAGAATCCAAAGCAGGCTCCAGGCTCTGAGCTTTCAGCACAGAGCCCGATGCGGGGCTTGAACCCACAGACTGTGAGATCATGACCTGAGCCGAAGTCAGATGCCTAACCGACTGAACTACCTGGGCCCTAACAAGAGATTCTTAAATACAGAGAACAAACTGAGGGTCTGGATGGGGGCGGGTGGGGGAGAGGGAAAATGGGTGTTGGGCATTGAGGAGGACACTTGTTGGGATGAGCACTGGGTGTTGTATGTAAGCCAATTTGACGATAAATTATATACTTAAAAAAATAAACTTTTAAGTATTTTAAAAATTTGTATTTGAGAGAGAGAGTGCAAACGGGGGAGGGGCAGAGAGAGAGGAAGCCTGAGGATCTGAAGCAGGCTCTGTGCTGACAGAGAGCCCCACACGGGGCTCGAACTCACGAACTATGAGATCATGAGCTGAGCTGAAGTCGGTCACTTATCCGACTGAGTCACCCAGGTGTCCCTAAAAACTTTAAACACGGGTCATTCATACAGGGAAAGAGGAGGAGGTGAATTAGAAATACTCTGCTTTGCATCTGTGCGTTGTTAGTCCAGGAAGATGATGGCGTGTGCTTAATTCTCACTGTCACTGCAGCAGTGTGAGGTGACGTGTGGGGACAGGACCGCGTGGAGTCTGGTGGAGCCAGCTGCTGGTCCTCTCGGTGGGACTGGCTGGGGTGTGTGGCCTCACTGCTTGTGCAGCTTGCCTGTGAAGAATTCTAGGCTTAACCAAATCCACACCAGCGTTCAGCATCCTGCTCAGCGAGATGACTTGATTCCATATAATGGGCATTTTGAGGTGACAGTGATGGAACTTGACATGTCTTCAGGGTGGCTCTGGCTGCGGCTTTTACATTAAAAGTTTGTCTCTAGGGAAGAACACAAACACTACATGGCAGTGAATTTTTATTGTTTTGGGTCCCTTGTGACCTTTTTTCTTTCAAGATGTTTTCAAACTGCAGTAAACAGTCCATCTATAAGACCATTGAGAGCAAGGCCCAGGAGTGTTTCCAGGAGCGAAGCAACAAAGTGTGTGGGAACTCCAGGGTGGACGAAGGAGAGGAGTGCGACCCCGGCATCATGTACTTGAACAACGACACCTGCTGCGGCAGTGACTGCATGCTCCAGGAGGGCGCTCAGTGCAGGTGAGCGGGCGGCGGCTCCCAGGGAGCAGGGCCTGAGAGCTGAGGAAGGGCGCGCGCTGCGTCTTTGTCCTCTTTGTCCTTTCCAGCAAGGAAAATGCTTTCTGGAAAGCAGTTTGATGTACGTCGCAAAGCCCTTAATCTTGTGAACTCTTTGGTTCAGCCTCCCATTGCTCAGAGTCTTTCCTAAGGAAACACGTATAGGAGAGGTGATTTCATGGCGACATTTTTTCATAGTGATAAAGTATTAGACACAATCAGAATGACTGTCCTGAGATGGGAATTAATTATTGTGTTTCTCTACAATAAGATAGTGTTGGTGGTTACTGTTTAATGGCATAAGCTAAATACGGAGGAGGCAGGTTACAAATTAGCAGGTACCTGTGTTTCCATTTTTATGACCAGTGCCCAGGTTAGCAGTATAAGAGGAAAACTTAAGTTTATGGTGAATAGAGGATTTTTTTTTTTTTTTAACATTTATTCATTTGTGAGAAAGAGATAGACTGCAAGTGGGGGAGGGGCAGAGAGAGAGGGAGACACAGAATCCGAGCAGGCTCCAGGCTCTGAGCTGTCAGCACAGAGCCTGACATGGGGCTTGGACCCACGGACTGGGAGATCATGACCTGAGCTGAAGTCGGACACTTCTGAGCTGCCAGGTGCCCTGGTGAATAGAGGATTCGACTTTGAACATACTGATGTTGTAAAATTTTTTTTTAAGATTTTTTTAAAAAGTGGGGTTTTTATTAATTAAAAAAAATTTTTTTAATGTTTATTTTTGAGAGAGAAAGCGTGTGACTGGGGAAAGGCAGAGAGAGAGGGAGACACAGTCTGAAACAAGCTCCAGGCTCTGAGCCCAATGTGGGGCTTGAACTTGGGAACGGTGAGATCATGACCTAGGCTGAAGTCGGATGCTTAACTGACCGAGCCACCCAGGTACCCCTCCAAAAGTGTTTATATTTGAGAGAGGGAGAATGAGCGTGCGTGGTGGACGGGCAGAGATAGAGAGGGAGACAGAGGATCCGAAGTGGGCTCTGTGCTGAGAGCACAGAGTTGGATGCTTAACCAACTGAGCCACACAGGTGCCCTTGACGTTGTAAATCCTGATGGGAGCTCCAACCCTGGCTGCCTGGTTCCCTCACCATGACTGCCTTGCAGACCCATGTGTTCCTTTTTTTAAAAAATTATGATACTAAGTTGATGACAACCAACGACATCGGGGTGTTTGAGGATGAGTCACTGCGGGCTGCCGTGGGCTTACTCTGCACTGTGCCGCCTGGCACCACCGTACGAAGGGCACACAGTGTATGCAGGTGGACCAGCACCGGGGGGGCGAGCACGCAGGACTGGGTGACCAGCCACACGCCTTCCCTGCCACCTTCAGGACCCTGTAGCACGGCCGCGGTGTGTGCCGTGGGGCTGACATTTGACTTGAACCATCCTGTCTGTTCTCCTCCGCAGCGACAGGAACAGTCCTTGCTGTAAAAACTGTCAGTTCGAGACCGCCCAGAAGAAGTGCCAGGAGGCTATTAACGCCACTTGCAAAGGGGTGTCTTACTGCACAGGTATGTCCTCCGGGGTTCTCTTGGGACCTGCGCTCAGGTGAGCGTGCGCGTGTTTGAAGCGGCGTTGCAGCTCGTTCGGGGGGAAGCACCCTTCCTCCGCCTCCCGCGCCGCTTTCAGTCCTGCTCCTTAGCTCGAGATACACTCGTCACTGGTCTGTGCGAGACCCATTCCGTTTCCTTTTTCTTCGTTACTTCCCTGTCATTCACTTCGTCCCAGTTGTCCCCTTCCTCTTCCCAGGTGGTGTCCTAACGTGTTTCTTACTTGCCTGGTCGTGTGTATTTCCTTGAAAGATCGTGTAGTGTTATTCTGTGTATATGCGTGTTTTTAACGTGCCAGGATGATATTCTACTTCAGTGCTCTTTTGAAACTCAGTGCCTTGTTTTTAATGATGTCAGTTGTGCTGTCCTTGTCTGTATGTCCATTTCCGTGTTTGTACACAGTTCATTGTGGGCGCCTGCTGAGTTGTCCTGTATGTTGGTGTATTTTACTCATCCGCTCACTGAGTGATGGCTGGGATGGCTTTCATCCTCTGGATCCTGCAAATAGGACCACAGCAGACCTCGTCCCGCATGGCTTCCAGGTGTCGTGGGGGTTTCCGGGGTGCATGTGCGGGAGCGGGATTGCTTGGCCACAAAGTGGCAGGGCCTGGAGGCCTTAGTGCGCGCGGGTTCCGGCGTCCCGGCGTCCTCGCCAGCCCTCAGTATCGTGCAGGCGTCTGTGTTTGGCCGTTCTGATGAGTGTAAAGCGAGCTCTCGTCCCTATTTGCACGCTTCTTGAACATTTCCTTGTATCTGTCAGCCATTTGGGTATTTCCTTTTGTGAATAGCCAGCGCATATAGTTGGTCCAATTTTTTTTTTTTTTTTTTTTTTAATGTAGGCTCCATGCCCAGGGTGGGGCTTGAACTCATGATCCTGAGATCAGAGTCCCATGCTTTACCAACTAAGCCAGCCAGGCACCCCTCCTCTGTCCATTTTTAAAAGTTGGGTTTTATTTCTTTTTGCTATTGTTGATTGGAGGAATCCTTCCATAATAATTCGAGTGGTTTAAATATTGCATATGCTTTCCTCCTATCTGCTGTTCTTCTTGGAGCACTTTTTTTTCCCCCAAGTGTATTTATTTTTTGAAAGAGCATGTGCATGAGTGGAGGAGGGGCAGAGAGAGGGGGGCAGAGGATCTGAAGCAGGCTCCAGCTGACAGCACAGAGCCCAGTGTGGGGCTCAGACTCTTGAACCATGAGACCATGACCCCAGCTGAAGTCGGATGCTCTGCTGACTGAGCCACTCAGGTGCCCCCCTTGGAACACAACTTGAAGTGTAATAATCAGATCTTGCTGTTGTGGGGCGTGTGTATTTTATTGAATTGTGGACAGTTAAAAAGATATTTTCCACACTTTTATCAGGCTCATTATTTTACCGTTTAAATTTAGGACTTTAATCCACCTCAAGCTAATCTGTAAGCTATCTCTATATTGACTGCATATTTTCTCAATTCTGTCAGTTCCTTAAAAATTTTCAAAACTATTAGGTACATAACTGGGACATACTCTGCACATTTTCATGATCTGCTCTTCCATTACCCGGTATATAATGTTTCTTTTTGACCCTTGTGGGTTTTTTTTGACCTTAATGTTTTACTTAGTACTCAGTTTGTTACCTCAGATTTTTTCATTCCTACTCAGATTTTTTCATTCCTATTCGTCTGGTGGATCTATCCCCTTCTTGTATTTTCTTCACTTCCTGTGTTGTTCAGTTCTCATAACTGCTTTATTGAGATACAGTGAACATACCACACTGTTCACTCATTTAAAGCGCACGTTCAGTGGTTTTTAATGTGCTCGTGTCTGTGCAGCCACCACACTCCGCATTAGGACATTTTCATCGCCTCAGCAGGAAACTTCCTGTGTTCTCCAGCCATCACCAAACCTCCTCATCCCCCCAAGCCCCAGGCAGCCGGTAATCTACTCTTTGTCTCTGTGTATCTGCCTGTTCTGGATGTTTCACGTAAATGGAATCCTACAATGTGTGGCCTTTTGCGTCTGTCATTCATTCAGAATCATGTTTTCAGGATTTGTCGCCAGTGTGGCCTGTGTCAGTGCCTGGTGTCTTCTGACCGCGGTGGCCATCCTGTCGTTCTCGGCTGGGCCGCGCTTTGTTTCATTCACTCCTCACCTGACGGGCTTTGGGATTCTGTCCACTTTCTGGCTCTCGTGATACTGCTGCTGTGAGTGTCTTTGTGCACGTGCTGTGCGGACATACGTGTGTCTTTCCGTTGTGTGTGCCCGGGCGTGGACCCACCGGGTCACATGGTCACTGTTGAGTTGTTTGAGGAGCTGCCAGGCTGATTTCCGCGGTGGCTCTACCAGTTTACGTCCCCCGCCCCCAGAAGCACGTGAGGGTTTCTCTTTGTCCCCACCTTCGCCAGCACTGGTTGTCTTTTTGATTATCACCATTCTAATGAAATTGTGTCTCATTTCTGTTCCTCTTTGGACTTGTAAATGTGCATTTCTCGGACGGCACTTGTGATTCTGACATTCTGAGATCTGTCAGCATGACAGCCATTTGCCACGTGTCAGGAGCCAAAGTGTCTCAGTCAAGCTTTACATAAACGTTTTCTAGCTGTGCTCAGTGTTTCAGTCTTTATTATAATAATAAAGCTGATTCAGAAAAATGTTTTAAGTAAGCATAAGCAAAACAGTTTTAAAAATTGGTTCATTCTTATCAAGTTTTGTCTCCTTGCTATTTAATATGAAGTAGCACTAGCAGAGCGCGAGCTCATTGCAAGGCCGGCAGCATAAGTATCACCTGTGATCTCATTAGAATTCTGGGAAGTTCTCGGCCGCCCTGGGCCTCCGCACCGGCAGCCTTCTCTGCTCCACCAGCTGGTTCCTGCGCGCCCCGAGCGTGAGAGCCCAGTGAGATGGGTGATGCTGTGCTTTTCATGGTTTTCCTCTGTGTCTGACTCTCTGATAGTGGTCTTTTGGGAACAGATGTTCGACAGATATTCATGGAGCATTCTTCACGTATCTGTTCAGGGCGGCGTCATCTACTGACAACACGGTGACCATGCAGAGTGTCCCCCGTCACTGCTTGCTGCACTTTTCTGCAGCCTGCGCTCTGCAGCAACAAGTCCGTTACGTGCCTGTTCAACAAAATGTCTGGTGCCCGCAAAGGGTTCCAGGGAGACCAGATGGGGGGCGCCTGAGTTAGGCTGTGGTAAATATGGGGCACTTAATGGAAGAGGGCAAATTCTTTTGCGTTTGGTGTCACTGCCGCGCTGACTTGGTGGTTGGTTCCGTCCCTCAGTTGGAAGGCCAGGCCTCCGGCTCTGTCACCGCCCGTCATTTTCACGCAGCAGTTTTCTTCCTTTTGTGCGTGTGCTGCTCATTTTCCAGAGAGAGTCACTCAGTGCATCCTCTCCCTGTGGAGTTCAGTATCCTTCGGTGGCTTTTCATTTGTCTTTAAGGATCATTGATTCATTTAAGAGGTATTTGCAATGTCCTTATGATGTGATAGGAATTGGATTTGAATGGATTCATTAAGAGGTTTGGCCTTCGCTCTCCTGGAGCCTCCCATTCTGTGAGGGGAACAGAAAGCACGTCATCACATAGATGTTAAGTGCATGGTGTGTGCGTGAAGGACAGAAGTCGCTGTAACTGTAGCAGTGGTGCACGGGGGGTGAAAGCGGGCCCCCGGGAGGTCCGAGGGAGGTCTTTGAGCCAGATCAGAAGGCGGAGAAAGAACCAGCCCTTTCCCTCAAAGGTGAAAACAAGGGCATTCCAGGTGGAAGGAAGAGTGTGTGTGAAGGTTCTGTGGTGAGAGACCTTGGAGCGGTGAAGAAATAGAAGGCGGCTGCGTGTGAGGGCCAGTGAGGTTGGAGGGGCCTGGCCGGCCGCTTCTGTGAGCCAAGTAACGGCTCTCGTGTTTGTTCAGTAGCGCATCGGTGTTATGTATGTGTATATATACATATTTAAGTTCTCCATTTTGAGAGAGACTGAGAGAGCGTGAGCAGGGGAGTTCAGGGAGCCGGACTCCCAAGCAGGCTCTGCTGACCGCACGGACACGGGGCTCGATCGCACAAACTGTGAGATCCTGACCTGAGCTGAAATCGAGAGTTGGCCGCCTCACCGACTGAGCCACCCAGGTGCCGCTGTGTACAGTCTTTTATATGTAGTTACGTTTCACAGTAAAAAGGTAAAAGCAGGGGCACCTGAGTGGCTTAGTTGGTGAAGTGTCTGACTGGCTCAGGTCATGATCTCATGGTTTGTGGGTTCCGGCCCCAAATCGGGCTCTGTGCTGATCACATGGAACTTGCTTCGGGTCCTCTGTTTCCTTCTTTCTCTGCCCCTCCCCCGTGCACAAGTGCACACACATGCTTTTTCTCTCTCAAAAAGAAACATTAAAAAGGAAAAAGGAAAAGCAAAATGTGAAATAGTGGCTGAGGGGAGGCTGGGGAGTCTGAGACGTTTGGGAGCACGGAGACTCGCACCGCGCGGTGCTTGGTACCCAGTGAGGCCCTCGGTGCTCATCGGCCGACTGGATACAGGCTGCTGGCGTCCTGCCCGTGGGTCGCTCCTTACTCTTTGTGAGGCGCCTGCTGGCCGTGAGGCTCCGGGGCCGGCCCCGTAGGACCGCTGGTCGCGTGACACCTCGTGACCTGTGTGCGCCTCGTGTGTTTCAGGTAACAGCAGCGAGTGCCCCCCTCCTGGAAACGCCGCGGATGACACGGTGTGCTTGGATCTCGGCAAGTGTAAAGATGGGAAGTGCGTCCCCTTCTGTGAGAGAGAGCAGCGGCTGGAGTCCTGCGCGTGTAACGGTGAGCGTGCTTCCGAGCCGCGTCCTTGCTGCCGGAGGGAAGGCGGCCTGTGCCCGCCAGGCTGTCCCGCCCCTTGGGGCCCAGCAGGATTCGCTGCTCGCTCTGGCCAGGGCAGTGGTGAGGACCCAGCCGGAGTCGGGGACACTCGGGGTGCTCTGTGAGACGGAGCTCTCTGGATTCTGGTCCTCGCCCCTCCACCTCGTCTGTGAAAACTGTCCTGTCAGTCGGTCGTCTTTCTCGCGACGTTTTTAGACCATGTGGTGGGGTAGGAGGGAATTTTCTCGTGCCTGCGTGGGTCGGTGGAGGTCTGTCCTCACCACTCACGCACACACGCACACACGCCACATACCTGTGAGCACGGTGTCTGTGCTGTCTGCGTCTCACGGGCACGGCACTGTGGTGCCTTCAGGACTTCAGCCAGGGGGCGCGTTCCAGGAGCTGGCCCGTCTGTCAGCGTGTGTGTGTTGTCAGCAGGGCTGGGCCTGCTGCCCTCCGCTCGCCGCCGGGTGTCGGGGCGGGGGCCTCGCTTAGCGATGCTCGGTGACCTCAAGCTGGCCTCTCAAGACGCTTGTCCTCAGGTTCCCACCTTCCGTTTTGGAACTCCTGGGTCTGAGGAGGGGCCGCAGGGGAGACTGGGCTCCGGCCTTCCCGCCCTGCCTCACCCAGGAGAGCTCCGTTGCGTTCAGAACCACCCGGGAGTGAAAGCCACCAGGTTGGGAAGTCCCCTTCCGTACAGTGGAGTAAGTGGCTCTTCCGGGTGGGATGGGAAGTAAATAAGATAACACACGGTAGACGTCAAATAATTTGTCGAGTGTGTGGCAAGAGGCTTGGGTGCCCTGGGAGGACATGTAGTTCGCGCCCAGGAAATGCTTGAGAAGTGAAGGGATGACAAAAAGGTTTTTCTTTTCCCGTTGAAGTGGTTTTGCTCGTTCTGGGTTCTGGTTGATTTGCGTTACCATAAGTAAGTGTAAGCACGGACTTCCCCGGGTCAGGTGCCGCCCCGAGTTACCCTGCCAGGTGACTTTTCGGGCGCCCCTGCTGCTTGTGTGTCTGCCACGTGGCTTACGTGGCGGCGTTATTTCCATCGCCCCACGTGCTGGGCTTAGGTCACACGGTCACACCTGCGCTGGGCCCGTTCTGTCACAGCAGTGCTGGCTTCTCACTGGACCCTCGGCCCTCCGGGGACCGTCTGAAACTGAGCCCCGGATGGAAGTCAGCAGTGTAAGAAGAGCGTTGGGATGAAGGGAAACATTTAGCATCAAAAGGATTTGAAGTAGAATAATTTGGCTTTTAGTCCGTTCAAGAAAGGAAACTCTTGGGCGTAAATTAATTGTTCTTACCTTGCGGCCTGAGGACCAGGGAGCGCGAACTCAGAAGTTACTCTTTGGGGCTGAACTAGGGATCTTCTGCTGTTAACATGAAAAATAAGTGCAGTTCCTTCCCTTTGGGAGCGGGGCGGGAGGCGGGGAGTGGGGGGGAGCGCCCTGTCCCTGACTGAGCTCCCGCTGTCCCCGGTTCCGTTTCAGAGACTGACAACTCGTGCAAGGTGTGCTGCCGGGACCCCTCGGGCCGGTGCGTGCCCTACGTGGACGCTGAACAAAAGAACTTATTCTTGAGGAAAGGAAAGCCCTGTACAGTGGGATTCTGTGACATGAACGTGAGTGTTCCCTTCCTTACAGCTGCTTCTGTAACGGTCAGGCGGGCAGTGTTTATACCGCAGAGACGTGCTTTTGCAAACAGAAGGAGTTGCTGTGCCTTGGGCACCCGCTGCTCGCTCTGCCGGGGAAGGAGGCAGCCGAGCGCTCACCAGAGGCCAGCACACACTCTCCACAGCCAGAACCCCGAGTCCACAGACGGGGTGGGAGCTTGGGGGCCTTTTCGGTAAAGTTGGTTGGTTTTAGGCAGTGAGTATTAATTATTTGATTTTCTCCACTAATTATAAGATTGACTAAGATTGAGAAATTGCAAGTTTTGATTCTGAAACAGGTGCTGATGAATAGGAAAGCTGGAGAGGTAGCTTGGCTCTCCTGCATTGGGCCCTTTCGTTCTGTACAGAAACAAATAGTATTCGTGCAGAATCACAGGAGAGGATTGAAGGGGTTTTAACAGGCCTCTCCGGGTGTCTGGCCATGCTCCTGCTGTCCCCAGGTCTGTTTCAGAGACTGACAACTCGATCCACTTTGTGTGATTGGTAGAGCCTGTTGGAACGCACACTTTTTTTTAATGTTTATTTTTGAGAGAGGGAGAGAGAGGGAGTTAAGTAGGGGAGGGACAGAGAGAGACACAGAATCTGAAGCAGGCTCCAGGCTCTGAGCTGTCAGCACAGAGCCCAACACAGGGCTCGAATCCACAAACCATGAGATCATGACCTGAGCCGAAGTCGGACGCTCAGGTGCCCCTGGAATGCCCCATCTTAAACAGAATTGATTTTCTCAACTTTTGCAGTTCTAAATTCTAATTCTAAATTCACTTACAAAAATGGACTGGTTGTGGAAGTGCCAGGGACGGGTGTACCCTACTTTCTTAGGTCTTCACTTGCCCTCTGTCAAAAAATGGGTCCCCTGCATGTTTGATTTAATGAAGCCCTTTTCATGTCCATTATTTTTATAAAGCCATGTTGCTTCTAGATGCATTACTTTGATGGGTAATACTGTGCGTTTTCCATTCACAGGGCAAATGTGAGAAACGAGTCCAGGACGTCATCGAGCGATTCTGGGACTTCATTGACCAGTTGAGCATCAACACTTTTGGTACGTGATTTCCCTGGGTGGCTCGCATAGGACTGAGCTGATTTCAGTTCTAATGATGACATTAGAGAAGTGTGGGTTCAGATTAACATGCTCTTGTCTGGCAACAGAAGATGGAACTATTCATAGCTTTTCTTTTATTATATTACTATTGTATTATTTTAAATGTTGATTTTTGAGAGAGCGCATGCAAGCAGGGGAGGGTCAGAGAGAGAAAGGGAGAGAGAGAATCCCAAGCAAACCCCTTGCTGTCAGTACAGAGCCTCATATGGGGCTCGATCTCACAAACTGAGATCGTGACCTGAGCTGAAATCAGGAGTCGGTCACTTAACCAACTGAGCCACCCAGGCGCCCCTCGTAGCCTTTGTTTAGAAATAGTTTTGTCAGCTAAGATAAAATGGACTCGTAGGTCTCCCCTGTGTAGTGTGGATGCACAGATTTTCAGACAAGCAAAGTTAAATATTGGGTTCCTTGTTTCCTAAGAAATGACACATGACTGCATACGCATGTTCCAGTGCTTTCGGTTGCCAATCTGAATTGTGTTTGATGTGAGCATCATTTATCTTAAAATTGGGTCTCTGATTTTGCTGAAGCGGCACGGTACTCTGTTTCTCCAGAAAGCACCAACGCTGCCCTGTTTCGCATCATACGGAGCAGTCATCTCTTGTATGATGAGCCCCCTCCCGCCGTCACCCCCAGGGACTGTGTTGTGCATCGTGTGATGTAATCTGCTCTGCTGACAGGTGTGTCAGGGCTCTGGCTGAGACTGACACCGCTCAGTAGTCCCTGAGAACGTTCTGTGGCGCTTGACACGCTCATATACTAAGAGTGTTGAATTCTGAGTGTCTAAAGTACTTGATCGGGTTATTCACCGTTTGGAATCGTTCACAGGGAAGTTTTTGGCGGACAACATCGTAGGTTCTGTCCTGGTTTTCTCCTTGATATTCTGGATCCCTTTCAGCATTCTTGTCCATTGTGTGGTAAGTCACCAACTTTAGGTAACAAAACATTATTACAGTTTTGGGCAATTCCAGCCTTATAACTTTTGGAAAAGGTAAAATTGTTCTTAGCAAGATTCGACCTGAGGTTTCCAATGACGTTGTTTGCTGTTATTCCCTAGGAAAGTTTGTTTTGTGAAAATTTTACCTAGTAGTTGTTTTTTTTTTTAAGCTAATATTGTGCTTTTTGTGTGTGTATGTGTGTTCTCATGTAGTGTGAGGAATGTTACACTCCTGAGCTCAGGAGACTGTATAACTGGATTTGTGCAGCACTTCCGAGCGAAGCCTTGAGACGAGCGTTTCTGGCTTTGTCGGGGGGTTCCACAGATGGCCCCCTCTACCGTCTAGGCCTCCGGCCTTACCGTGTAGGGCATTCAGTCCTCCCGTCTAATAAGGGGGAGCAGTCCTTACCTTTCTCGTTCACAGTGAGTCACAGCTGACAAGTTGAATTGGGCTTTCTCTAATAAGCTCTGCGTGATTTATAAACCTGGGGCTTTAACTTTTCTTACAAACGCACTCACCTTGCTTCTCTGGAAAAGTGAGGACTTGTCTGCTGTAGAGATGAGAAAACCTCAACCCGGCTTCCAGACTTGGGCTCTGGAACACCTCTTGTGCGGTGCCCCCTCATTTGAGCACCTAGAAAATTCCAGCACAGCTGTGTCTCATGAGCCTTTGCTGCCTCTGCTTCCTTTCCTGTCTGGCAGCTTGTCTCGCCTCGGCTCTCACTGAGCAGCTCGTCCTGAGGTGCGGGGTGGGGGTGGGGGGAGCATGGGGGGCGCGGGGAGGAGCGTCTAGGGAGCAGCTGTGCTCAAGCAAAGCGGTAGGAAGGGTGACGTGGGTGACACTTTGACAGGTGGCCGCGAGTGCCCACTCTTACTGAGCGGCCAGCCTACCACGTTTGCATTGAAAGCCCCCGGTGTGGACGGAGGCCTGGCCCGGGGGGCGGCGGGGGGTGGGGGAGCAAAGCCGCCGCAAGGATGGTAGTGCCTCGTCCGTCCCACAGGACACGCGAGGGCAGCTGCACCGGCACCAGGCGCAGGTTTTCAGGCTCGGCCTCCCACCTTGCGCGTCACCGTGTTTCATGCGGGGTGGGGGTCACGTGTTCCGCCTTCTGCAGACGGCGTGGCGGAGCGGCTCGAGGCCCAGTCCCTCCCAGAGTTGGGGCCCCGGTAACTCTGGAAAAGGCTGAGAAGAGCGGGGAGGCCTGGCCGGGCTGGGGCATTTGCCAGGGGACACTCTGACCCCCGCAGCTGCCCCCGCCGTCCGCACCGCCCTGGCACCCCCAGCGGTGGGCTTTTGGGGAAATCGCCCAGAAAGACTGTACGTACACATTCCTGGTCCGTCTCGTGTCTCGTTAGTTAACACAAAACGCTGATCGCCTCGAGGGGGAGAACCCCTTCAGGCCGGTGGCAGAAGTCCTCGAGTTTATGTGAGAAACCTTTCTCCTCTGCTGGACTTGCGGCCGCTCCCCACACCCCGTTCTGAGCGACGTCCCTTAGGAGGAGCCTGAGGGGAAAAGCGGGTCACTGATTGTTCGTCTTCCTTCTAGGACAAGAAACTGGATAAGCAGTACGAGTCGCTGTCTCTCTTCCATCCCAGCGTAAGTACCACGTGAAAGTCCCCGTCGGGGGCGCCTGCGTCCGCCACCCCAGCCAGAGCCGTCAGCCGGCGGCCGGGGATTTAGAGGGGCTGCCCCGCCCCCGCCCGGGGTTAGCGGGTCCCGGTGACCAGGCCGTCCTGGGAGCCGAACTTGACAGGGTTATTTGCGAGTTCTTTTGGGTCCTCAGATGGCAAGTTGTCCTGAATGTGGAAAGTGACGGGGTCCCTCCTCGTGCTTCCCTTAGTGCGGTGGTCATGGTCCCCGCGGCGGGTGGCCTGGCCGGGGAGGCCGGAGCTCTGGGGCCTGGATCTGACTTTGACCCCATGTCTGCAGAACGTGGAAATGCTGAGCAGCATGGACTCGGCCTCGGTTCGCATCGTCAAGCCCTTTCCGGCGCCCCAGACCCCCGGCCGCCTGCAGCCCCTGCAGCCCCCGCAGGCCGGCCCCGCGCCGCCTGCCCCCGCGGCCCCCAAGCCGGACCCGCAGCGCATGGACACGATCCAGGAGGACCCCAGCACGGACTCGCACGCCGACGAGGACGGCTTTGAGAAGGACCCCTTCCCGAACAGCAGCGCGGCCGCCAAGTCCTTCGAGGACCTCACGGGCCGGCCGGTCACCAGGAGTGAGAAGGCCTCGTCCTTCAAGCTGCAGCGCCAGAAGCGCGTGGGCAGCAAGGAGACGGAGTGCTAGGGGCCGCCTGCGCCTGCCCGGAGGGGCGCCCCGCGTGTGGCTCGCGAGGCCGTGGGAGAGACAGGGACCTCACGGCAGACGCCGGTCACGTGTTTGGGCTCCTTCACACGTGGTCAGTGACGCTCGTGTGCGTAGGCCCTTGTCCTTTGGAAGAGGGAAGGTGCATCTGGCTTATTCTGAGGTTTTCAGGTTTTAGTTTTTAAAATCTCCTTCAACCTGTGGTGCAGAAGGGGAAAGTACAGCTGGATTAGGTCATGAACATTTACGTTCTTGTAAATGAACTTTTATCGGGACCGGCCTGGTGGCTGTGTCTGCACCGCAGCGAGGCGCTGGCTCGAGGGAGGCGCTTAGCGGTCACTCCCGAGGGCGCCCGGAACGCAGCCTGTACTTTTTGCCTTCAGGTAAAGACCCAGGAGACCAAAACCGAATTCTCCGCGGTTATGTGGGGTCATCCAGGGCGCGCAGCAGTGGAGTCGCCCTGTTCTTCCTCAAGTTAGATGTGGGGGGGTCGCCTTCTGCAAATTCTAAGGCTGGCACTTTCTAGAATTAAAACGATCTAGCTGACAAATAGTAGCCAAATTGAATTCACAGAATCCTGTCCCCCGTTTAAGACCCCAATTTGCTGGGCGGTTTTTGTTTTAAAAGGAGGGCTGCCACCACGCTACGAGAGCGCTCGCTGTTCCCAAGCGCGAGCTGCTGTGCACGGAGACACGGCCACCCCGTTGCACACCGGTGGCCGCGGGGGCCCCTGAGCTGCTGCTTCTCCCCGGAGAAGCGGTGGTTTGGGAGGCCCAGGCGCTGCACAGGCGGGGACGCTTTCGCTCTGGGGCCTGGAGCTTTCTCCCTAAAGACCCTTTGTGGTGCACCGCTTCCCGAAGGTCTGCGTTTACTTTGTGAAGGATAAAAATCATCAAATTGAATTCTGATTTCTTTAAAAAATCATAGTTGGGGGGGGAAGCTTTTCAGCCCTGCAATGTGCTTGACCGAACTTGTGAACTGAGGGCAATTAACTAAACCTGTGACAAATCAAACCTTTTCTTCTAAGGACGTTTATTATGCAGATGCCTGTTACACTAATACTTGAACTTCTACCTTATGGTGTTTGCTGTCTTCTAACCAGTCATGATACATTACACTTTTGGAATCTGATTAGGTGAGTGGGTGAATGTGTGAGAGTGAACAGTTGCCAGCTCAGTGTAAGAAAATCGTTTTTTATAAAATGGACTTTTTAAACAAATCTGGCTTCACCTTGTTTCCATTTATAGAATTTTGTAGCTTGTGGCACTGGTGACGCCTGCAGCAGTCAGATGTGAACAGAACACAACGCATGTAGGTACAGAGCTTTTCGAAAAATTCTGATGCGTTTATTAGTCTTACTGGCAGATGGTGTTTTTTATTCCAAGGTCATGAGCAAATATTGGATCACTAATCTTGGGCTCTTTATCACACGGGCAGCGCCGCCTGTAAGGTAATGGCCAGATGGGGTTTTCTGTGGCTAATGGTCCCCGTCTCCCAGGAGGCTTAGTTCGGGTCTGGCTTCTGCTACGTCTCGCCAGTACGGGAGCAGCAGAGGCAAGGAGGCGGCTCTCTTCTCGATCAGCGGCCAGAGGTGGGAGAACAAAAACTCATTTCCCTTCGGGGACAAGTGCAGTCCGTCTGACAGGAAGGACGAGAAGTCCTGCAGGGGAGACAGTGGGGATGAGCGTGTGGGGGACACTTCGGGTCATCAGGTTTGGAAGAGGCGGCTGAACAAGTAAATAAGGTACATTTGCGTGAACGACGAGAATGTATTCGCTGTTCCGACTCCACCTGGTCTAGGTATTAAGTCAACAGGCAGGTTATTAGGTGGAATGAACTAGAACCATCCGGCCCAGAAGGGTAACGCTCCGTGCCCTCCACCCTCCTCCTGGGTGAGTGGTGTTGACCCTGCACCGAGCGCCCGCCCCCCGCAGGAAGCCAGCTGGCTGTGTTCACGGCTCCTCCGGACCAGGGCGTCCCGCCACCTCAGAGCAGGTCTCTCCGGAACGGCCACCCCTGCCACGGCCCGGGGTTCCACGTCCAAGGACCGCGTCAGAGCCCCTCGCACGACAGCACCGTCCCAGGCCTCTCAGATGGGACACGCAGCCCAGGCAGGAGCCAGGACTCCGGCCGCTGGCGCTGCTGCTCCTACCGGAGGGAGACGCCCCAGCAGGGCCAGCGCCGGCTCCGGCCCGGTTTTGGAGGGAGGCTGACGCACAAGGGCGGGTTGCGCCGGGGCCTTCCTCGGGGCCGGGCCGCTCTGCGGACCCGCTTTCGGGCTTTAAACGGAGCGGTCGGAACTGCGCGCTCGAAACACAAAATGTAGGCAACGCCACGTGCTGCTGAAATTCAGCGTTGCCTCGTACCCGCGCCCCCCCCCCCATCCTAACAGGACTTGCTCCGACTGTCCTTACCTATGAGCCCTTTACTTCACTCTGTTCAGTTTCTGGAGCAGGACCCCCTGCTGGGGCCAGCGGGGTGGGGGAGGGGTGTCCCGGAGCCTCTGTGCTTCCTCCCCCCACCCCAGCTCTTTGGTTTAACTGGGGAAGGGGACAACTGTCTTGCCCACTCGGAGCCACACAGAGCGGGTCACCGAGCAAGCCCCGTACCTGACCGTCCTTCTGCATCAGGGTCCACAGGTCCAGCACCTCAGTCCCACAGTCCCGGGCGGCTTGCAGGCAGGCGGCGGCGTAGTCACCAGCAACCAGGTTCAGGCGATTGAGCTTGCAGCCTGTTGAGCGCAAGTACAGGGGGCAAGCGGCCCTCGTGCAAGTTCTACTGACCCGGATCCTTCTCAGGCACGTGCTCACGGCCGCGACCTGGGTCAGCCACAGAGAGTGAGGGCGGTCACCGGGCGCTGCTCTACCCGGCACGGGACCGAGGACCACGGGAGCAGCCAGTGGTCGCCACAGAGGCAGGAAAGCCCTGTGGCGGCCATCAACTTGGCTGGAGTCGGGCGCTGACGGCGAGGAAGGGGGAGAGTGGGGAGGGGTGGGGGGCGGAGATCCCGGAGTTCTTGTGCCGAACAGGAGGCCACTGGGAGGCCACTGCGATACACGGGAAAGATGGTCGGGCTGTAGGCAGAGAAGAGGGAGCTGGCGGGGGTGGCGGAGGTCGCCTGGGCTGGTTCATAGGTCAGTGACCTTTTTCTTTTACATTTGAGAGAGAACACGCGTGCGCATACACGCGTGCACACACACACAGAGTGAGCACAGGAACAGGAAGGGCAGAGAGAACAGAATGCCCAGCTGCGCACTATCCGTGCAGAGCCGGACCTGAGGCTCCGGCTCCCAAACCCGGAGATCAGACCTGAGCCCAAACCAAGAGTCAGACGCTTAAGCCACTGGGCCCCCCGGGCCCCCCGCTCCGGGCCCCCCAGGCCGTGCGGCACAGGGTCTGTGCTGGGGACCCCGCCCAGAAACCTGTGGGCCTGTCTTCGTAGAACATTCCTGTAGCCCGTGGCTCATGAACCTGACCGCCACCGCTGTGTTCCCCAGCAGGACTCCACGCACGTCTCCTAAGGGAGGCGCGTCTCATAAAACCATGTCCACCGTGTCCCGGACACTGAGGTTTCCCTCCTCCGTCCCCAAACGTAAATCACGTGGTTCTATGACCACGAGGGGACTGTGACCTGCGGTCTGAGAGGCAGACGTGGCTGTGACTCGCACACCTCTGCTCATCCCGGCTCGGCCCTCCGAGCCGTCCCGATGCTGACGGGAGAGACGCCCACGAGAGGCTGGTCCCTGGGGGCCGCGGCTGGCGCGCTGGAGCTGATGACAGGGCGAGCCGTCCCCCCCCCCCCCCAGCTGAGGACAGCGGGCCTGGCCCCGTCCTCCCTGTCTGTCCTCTTCCTCTGGGTAAACTGGCCCCAGTTCCCTCCTCCGGGGACCGTCCCTGGGCCCTTCTAGCCTCCGCTCCGGTACCTTCAACAGACTGTTGGCGCCCGTCATCCCAGCACGTCGGCGCCAGTGTGTGCATGAGGGTCTCCTTCCCTACGTGACCCGCGGGACCCGGGCTCCAGGCGCTTCTGTGTCCCGAGCACCCGGCCAGGCCCCAGCTTAGCGCGTCAAGTACAAAGACGGTCACGGGACAGAAGTGTCCGCGGGCCTGAGAGCCACGCACGGTGGCTCTGACCCGGGTGCCCGCGGCTGCACCTCAGTTCAGGGGAAGGAGACATCTTGTCGCCGGAGCCTGCGGCACAGGCTACACCGCGTGGGGAAGAGACCGTGTTCGGACAGAAATGGCGAAGCGTCGCCGCCCACGTGCCCTCGGGAGAGCCTCAGCGCCACCAGGCCGGGCCGCCTCGCCCACGGTTCGCCTGCAGCCCACAGGCAGCGCTGCTGGTTTTGCTTCCGCCCTGGTGGCGGCCACCGGAGACTGGGAGGACCCCGCGGCCGCTTACCTTGCGCGCGGCACTCCCGCTCCCAGGCTGCCTCGCAGAGCGGGGGCGGCGTGATGAGGACGATCCTGTGCTCCGGGACGCCCACGGACTGGAGGTAGCGCACCATGCTCTTTAAGTTCCCCACGTACTCGTCCAGGGGGACGTGCTGCTTGGGGTTCTCATCTGTGGGCGGAACATGGACACTTTGGCCCCAAGTGCACGTGTGTTGTAAGGGACAGTTAAGGTGGATATGCGCTCACAGATCTGCACGACCCAGGGTGTCACCGGGGCGTGGTCAGGACACAACTCGGGGTGGGGGTGGGGGGAGGGACGGTCCCACTCTTCGTGAGACAGCCCGCAGAGGCCAAGGCCTGCTCCCCTGGTGGCAACAGCCTGGGCTGCCGGGTCCCATCCCAGCTTCCTCACCGCCAGCCACCGGGCCTGGGACAGATGCTCGGCTGCCCCGTACTCGGGTCTCCTCACCGGTAAACGGAGGGCGGTACCTGGGTCCCCCCCCCCCCCCGGTGGCTGTGAAAATCAGCAAGCGTGTAAAGCACTCCAGGAGGGGGCTACCACCCAGGGAGCAGCCCGGATACACCTGCCAGCCGCCGGGGGGCTGGGGGTTCAGTCGGGTAAGCGGCTGACTCTTGTGCTCTGGTCATGATCTCACAGGTTTGTGAGTTCGAGCCCAGTGCGGGGCTCTGTGCTGACCATGCAGAGCCTGCTTGGGATGCTGTCTCTCAAAATAAATTTAAAAAAATGTCAGCTGCTGCTCCTACTTCCGTCACATCTACAAAGGAGTTTTTTCTTTGAGAGCGCGCGCGTGTACAGGGGAGAAGGGCAGAGGGAGAGAGGATCTTAAGCAGAATCCAGGTCAGTGTGGAGCCCAACTCGGCCTCGATCCCACGCTGCTGGGATCGTGCATGACCTGAGCAGAAATCAAAAGCCGGACGCTCAACCAGCCCACCCCGGGGCCCCACCGAGGATTATTTCTAAACAGCCTCCCGTCTATAAACCACATGTTAAGTACAATCATAGGAGCAACATAAAATCACTCATGATGCCACCGCCCAGAAAACCACTGTTGGCACTTGGAGGTACTTCATTCTAGTCTTTTCCCTGTTGATACGTACACCTAAAATATAAACTTAGGACCACACTGAAGATACATAACCAAATCGTTCTTTTTTTCACCTGACCTTACATTATGGGCATTTCTGTGTCCATAAATAGTCCTCAGAAACGTGTTTGCTGGGCGACCAAACTCATGCCTCTGTTTCCGCACCGCACAGCAGTCTCACTTTCTGCCGCTGGAAACACAGTCCGCAGAAGCGTCTGCGCAGACGCCGGGCTGTACTACAGAGTGTTCTCTTAGGCTGGATTTCTAGATGAGAGAAGCCCTTGGATGCACACTGTCAAGTATCTTTCCAGAAAGATCACAGGTCTCCCCGGGGGCTGTGGAGGAGGGGAGTGCCCATCTCCACACGCAGCAGCCGTAAGAATCGGTGGTTAAAAACCACTTGCCAATCTGAGCCTTTATAGTTTTTTGACATTATCTCATTTCATCAACCTACTTTTTCACTTGTGATTTCCTCCATTGCTTTTATGCTTAGGAAGTGTTTTTCTTTGTCCTAATTTCGGTGAAAATTCACCTTTTTTGGAGTTTCCTTTATTAGTTTTTGGTGTCTGGTGTCAAGTGAAGATCTGACTCTTCCTAATAGTGAGCTCACGGGGTCCACCGGCACCTACGGTTCACACGACCTCTTTCTCAAGGTGGCGAGCACCCCAGGCCGCCCTGCAGCCTCCCTGAGCCGTCGCCAGCGTGCGGCCAAACAGCA